GGAAGGAGAAGAAGCATAGTTGCCAGACAGTATCTTTTATTAAACAGCTTTCTCTAGATACTTGTCATRTTTTAAGCAAACTTTGAAGAATTTCTTACTAACAAGTTGAATGTTTGGGAAAATGCTGATTGACAGCTACAAGGGTGGAAAATTTCCATTTACTTGTATAGCATACATACATTTCACCCCCCCTCCCCCTCCCCCCAAAGACAGACCAGGAAGCAGAGAAAAAACACTTTTGAGGAGTAGGAGTAGTTAAGATTTGGTTTCCAGCCAGGGTGCCACTAAAATGCAAATAGCTGCCTCCAAGGCATGAGGGAGACAAGGTATGAGATCAGCTCACTTAAAGTCAGCTACAGCATCACAACAGGGTGAGTAGATTTTGTCACCTTAAGCTTAAATTCAACCAGAATTGAAAATACATCCTGTCACCAACCTGTAATATCTTGCCCTTTTATTTATTTTGTTGGCTCTCCTCACATGGGCCATCACAGGCAGAGTCCAGCTCCAGGCAAAATTTCAAGATGCAGATTTCACTTCCACCCCTACTGCAGTTAACAGGTGCATTCTTTTCATTCCAGCTAGCAAAGSTCACCCAGAATAATCACAGCTGGGCAGGGGAAAATTTCTCTTGCATGCCTGGGAATCAGATGCAGTTGCATTTTGTTGCAGTTTCATTTGTACAATGCAGCTGGCTTATATTTATACCTAGTTTGTGTTGAAGGATGGGGGGGAGGGAAAGGGAAATCCTCCTAATCATATCATCACAACAATTTAAACACACAGAATTTAAAAAGCCAAAATTAGGTATTATCAGTAGAAACACATTTCACTGCTGACCCATTGAGCCTGTCTTATACACTGTGCCAAATCTGGACAAAATGCTGCATTGCATCACCTCACMAGACAGGAAGATTCTAAAAATTAAGATTTGCAGGGTGAGCTCACACAAAATATGTGTGCAAAACTGCCCTCTGCTGTTTGAATTAAGACCTGCTCAAGTAAATGATTGTGTGACCATATCAGTTTTTAGCTGTGAGGGTCCAACACGCAAAGAGGCAGAACTAGCTGACTTCATCTGTTTTCTGCTTCCATGCACACTAGAAATTCTATACATGAAAGCCCCTCACGACTGCCCTGCAGCATGGACTATCCCAAGAGATCTGTAGGCTGCAGCAACACTGCCATCTGCAACACTCAGCCCATTAAGCAACTCTCCCACCATAGGTGAGCATCACCAGACATCCACTCATCCCAAAGATGAGTTGAGAACATCTCAGGGTGCGGGMGAAATTGATGTAATTGAGTGAGCACTGCAGGGCATCCATCTATCAACCTGTTAAAGACAGACTTGACCTTTATGACACAGGAACTGTATGCCTGGAGTCAAAAGCTTATAGCACTGAGGCCTTTAAGAGTTAAGGACTATGAAGTTACGGCAGTGATCAGAAAACAGGGTAGTGAGCTCATCAAAAGATATCCAGCAAATATTCTCTAAAAGCCCCTACTGTAGGGAAAGAAGAGAGAACCTGGATTTTCTTTTCAAGAACTACTGTGCTTTGAAAAAGTTGCTCATTATCTACTGCCAGTAYGATAGACAGTTTGGTACAAAAAATATCACGGAAGGGCCAACTGTTTTCTACAGCTTCACTCACATATTCATACACAGGATGCAGCAAATTCTGCCGATTAAAAACAGCATCAGACGTCCACATCTTCTTTGGGAAGATCGAGTTTGGTACAAATGCAGAAAACAAGTACTGCTACCCACACCAGMAGTTCTGTTTCCGGAGTGCCTCTGATGAAAGCTAGCCCAGTCCTCATGAATTAAGCACAAGTTTCAGCTCTTTGTAACAGGCTTTGGTCAGTGCACAAAGAGTACTGTAAGCTATGCTGGTCAATGTAAACACACAAACTAAAACCAAACCAAAACTTGAAGAAGCCTTGAAGAATTTTTTTCCATCAGCCCTTTTCATATCCATACGTTTAAAAACACAGAAGCATGGGTGTGCAGCACAGCATGCTTTTGAAACAATCGCTAAAAGCACTTAGTGACCACTTCAAAGATTCCCTTGATGTTTAACCCATGTTAACTGTAACCCAACAGTCATGTAGGGCCACTGTTCAGCCTAAGGGACTTTAAACACACCATCAACAGATGTACAAATTAAACTTTAGAAAGATTCTTCTGAGTGCATAAATAGCTGAAGCTTTACTTTGATGATGGCTGGCTGGCCTCCTAGACAGCAGGGCTGGGACTTCTCCATTTTTCAAGTTAAGGGCAACAATAATATTGTGTCAGCCCTCAGGGAAAGGAAATTAGTGTCAGATGATTCAGAGTGTGCCTGATCACTATGGTTTTGGATTTGATTCCATTATCTAGAAAACTTAATGGTGAGACATCAAAGGTAGTCCTGCGTGATAATGAAACTAGCTGGGTGGGGTTTTTACTATAAAAGCTGCCTGAGAAGCTCAAAACAGATGACAGAAGGCTTCCTAACATAAAACTAACAGACCTCTCATTTTAAGAAATCTTTTTAGTGCCAAAAACAAGTGCCTTGTCCTTGGAGAAGCACAGAAAGGAAGATAGCTTTTTCTGGGTGAAATCTTAGTAACATAACCTGCAGTAATATAAGATTACAAATCTTATTCCCCAGCAGCTGTGAGCTCAGTAGCAGCAAATCCACAACTGGAATGCCTCACTTTCACACTTTTTTCATTTGCACAGGTGAATGAAAAGAACTACGCACAGCTAATGCTATGACACTACTACTGCTGATGCAGTAACATCCCTCATGACCATCATGTTTCTGATGACCTTCACTTTACCTGTATCTGAAAGCAGTATCTTTGCTTGGGTCTGAAACATCTCTGGACCTTGTGTGCTTAGCTATACCACTGTCAGCCTGCCACTCTTGGAGCAACAGCAAATCCCCATTCTAGACAATATCTTCCAAGTCTTCACAATTTACAGTATTAGCCTCACTGGGAGATTGAGGGAAAAGAAAAAAAAAATCAAATCTTGTTAAAAGGATTCAGTATTCCCAACCTATTAGCCAAGGCACTCAAAACAGCTAACAGAGATTGTTCTAGCATACTAACCAGGTACTTCTGGGTTATCAGATATGAGAATAAATTTGCATTTAAGGCTACATTTAAACTTTTGCCATCTAAAACTTTGAATCTGATTTTGCAGGCTCAAGGAAACTAAAAAGGGTTAGAGCAATATATGTGTGTATGATGCCTATTACAACAAATACTATTTATAGACATAATCAGACTGTCACCAAGCCATCCATCAAAATCAGAATTGACACCCAGGCTTGCTGAAACACAGCTCAGGAGAGCTTTGCTGTAAGCTAAAATGTGAATTCAAATTGTCAACATTACACCAAAGAGTGTAGAAAATTGCTCAGGWTTGACAGAAGAGTGCTACTTTTCTCTTACCCTGTTTGGGTTTGTATTTCAAAGCAGGAAGTTAGTGGAAGTGGAAGTTAGATTTACCTTAAGACAATGTTAAAAGCTGAACTRAAAAGATATACTGAAATGACCATCAAGACAGAAAGTAAATATGCTAACAGTTCTATCAACAGTAACTAGGAATTCCTACTTTTTACTTTCAAGGGTTAGAAGGGTAAAGAAAAACTCCTTCAAAAAGCCTCATTAAAAATAGAACCTTTTGCAATTTCACAGTATTTTTATTAAGTGCAAAGTAACTTTGTTCCTGTAAAATAAATTAASAGCACCCCAGCCATTGTCATTGAAGAATACGGCTACTAAGTTTTACCTTGTGCTACCTGAACAGTTTAAGCACAAAGATTAAACTACAACCAGCTGTTTAAGGTAAGTTTCTTGATACCAGCCACTAACTTCAGTATTTGTCACATTACAGAAAGCTTCAATAGCACCTCAAATCTTCAGAAATCATGTTTTTAAGTGGTTAAGAAGAAAACGTCTCTTCCATAGCAAACCATCTCAGMAGATTGATTCAGTAAGAGCTATTTCTACTCCCAAACTCAGGTACTGATTGCTAAGGTCACCATCAACTACCCATTTAACCTCTCAAAAGTCCTGGGTGAGGCAACTCCTGAAACACTGAGGAGAATCTGCCTTTGAAGAAACTTACACAAGGCTGAAATGAGACACACAGGAATGTTGGCTAGAGTGCTCTCAAAGTACCTCACTTCTACTTAGGCTACATCACCTAGCATCTTACTATTAATGGAGCAGCAACGTTAGTACAAACTGCTAGCTGGTCTGAAAGAMACGTCTCAAAGCATTCTCCTCAAGTTAAAATTCAATCCTGTGCCAAAAAGATAAAGCTACATTTTTAATTGTTTCTTCTACCACCCAAGTGCTTATAGCACAAACCCAGACAACAGTAGAAGCCAATCTGTTTTGACATTTAGAAGACCTTACCCATGAAAAAACTTGCTTCACGAGCACATTTCTCAGCCTGCATATTATTTGTCTCTTTTTCACTGGCAAAGGAAAATTCACCACACCRTACTAAAATTTTACATCTAATTCCATTAGTTTTTGCTATTTACCCCAGGGATATCACTGTCTTACCTTATCAGGTAAGACAATTTTTTTTCCTTAAGGCAAATGCCTTAAAAAGACTGTTAATAACCATTTGCTGTGGTCTTGAAGACTACAGACTGAAATGTCAGCTGTCTATCTTGCAGTTTCAACCTTTCCAAACTCCCATCCTCTGTGCTCTTACAATCTGCCCCATGTTCTATTCCACACASCTTTGTTTCAGACACCTGTATTAACAGAGCTTTCAAGTTTGTCAGTAATTTTGACTTGATCACTTTACAAGTTTTTGTTCCAGACAGAAATGGATTTATCTTTCTTTCTGCAGACAGTCATCTAATACTACTGTGATTTGCACCTCTTTCTAAAGTGATCTGTTACTGCTTAAATGATCATATATTATTTTCTCACTGAATGACACAAGGTTTTAAACTTAATTAAAAGCATTGGAAGACCAGAAATAACATTAAAAATAAATTTTAATGTTGTCATTTTTAGATCATTTGCTCTGACACCCAAACATTCTGTATTTTAAAGCAGTAGTATAGGGACACACAAGTGCAGATAAATCTTTATTGCCATAACTTCGTTTTTTCAAAAATGAGCATTGGGTCTTTAATAGGTCGTAGTTTTATGTCTGTATATGTACAACATTACAACTGCGTATTTTAATAATAATGACGTTAGTGATACTTGGATAACTCAACACAGTGTATTTATAAAATGAATTCTTATCAAAATACACTTTTCACTGGGTAATAAATAAAATCCTGTGAAACCCACCTACACAAAGTTAATTTTAACTCTGGTAGAACCCGATGTGGTACACAGTCCATTAACTACTATGTTTGCCCCTTTATCCCCCTACTGATGCTCATCTTCTGGGGTAAGAAAACTTTTTCCCCCCGTTGTGGTGTGACCTCATTCAACATCATCTTCAGCCAAGCACTGTGCACTTACAATTCTCTGTAAGAAGGAGAAAAACTCATTCACAATTACATAAAATGGACAGTATGCAACCTGATTATCAAGCAATGTAATTTTACACTGAACATTAAGCAGTGTAATTACTGAACAAACTGATTAAAGTTAAAAACAGCAATCTATTTGACTAAAGTCTTGGAATTCAGTTCCACAGAAATTACATACAGTGCAATCCCTAACAAAGGCAAAGTCAGATAAACAATATWCTGTCAAACTCAAGTGATGACCTCTGTGTGGTTTTTGGCACTGTTTTCTTAGGAAACATTTTTGTTCMATCATTTCCTCGACTCTTACACCTTGTGTACCTCACACTTTCCAGTGTTACCACTGACTATACAGACCTTAACCTGAAATGTAACTGGGCCTGACCTGTAAAAACAGCAAACTAACAACCAGCACCAAGTCTCTGCTTTATGTCAGGTAACACTACTAGGGAATGAACATAAAACATATTACTTACTTTACAACAGACTCACCTGCCAGCATATTAACAACATTACCTGCTCAGTAGTGAGACTAAAAGGGGAGGGCATTTTATACTTAGAGCTACTAACACTTTTAWCCCAAGCTTCCAAAATTGTCATGGGTTCTGGTGCTAGTTAGCATCTCGTGTTTATAGCTGTCCCCAGAAGCAAGAGGGTAGCAAAAGCAACAGATACATTTTGATGGACTTTCATAGCACTCACACCCTTGTAGGCACACCAATTTAAAAAAAAAACAAACCCTCAAGACCCAGTGCCATAAAGTTACTACTTTTCCAATATTCCCAACTTGTATTTGGGAAACAGTGGATCCATTTATGGTATCAGAGGTATGGTCAGATGCCTCTACTTCAAGAGTTTAGCATACCCTGAACACAAGGTAAGTTATGTATTTCTATTTTATCCTGGCTGCTATTGATGCTAGRTGATGATTGTAATATTCACTTTTTAACATCTCAGGAGAAAAATAAGCTTCTTTTAACCCAACTGAACATACTAAAAAAACAGATTACATAACCCAATACTCAAGATTGATATAGTGGATAAGRTAAGTATTTCAATTATTTCCAAACCAAAACAACATGGAAGGTTTCACATACCTGGCTTATTGTAGGGAGCTTAGTTAGAAGCATTTGAAACACTGGTGGTGGAAGAGTCTGTTGTAGGACTTGTAGTAGCTGCTGCGGCTGCCCACACACAGCAATGGCATTGGTCAAGTGATCAACACCTTTTTCATATTCACCTGTATAACAAATTATAATGTTTTGAAATCAACCATCTCCCACAGTGTAATACATTTACATAAAACATCCACCAAGAGTGTGAATCAATCCACATTTAGCTCTTCTCCTTCCTTGCTGGACTTTCTGAACACACAAGGTTAGAAACCTTGAAGGAAGTAGATTTTCTTAGATGAATTTGAATTCTCAACATTTCTTGGTGCATAAAAATAATTTTCTAGCAAAGGTAGAACAAAATTATTTTACAACCTACTCTTTGGAAAAAAATGCTATTACCTTGAGCTAGTAATTCCTCGCCAAGTTGAATCTCCTCAAGGAAAAACTTCTGAACTGCTTCAGCATCTTTCAGATCAGGCAACTAAAACACACAGAGTAAAAGTTAAATCGGCCCTTTGACACCTGCTAGCAAAAAGTCAGCAGAACACATTCTCAACTGAAATCAAACATGCACACAACCATATTGCTACACTGATGCTGGCACAAAAAAAACCAGCTCTCACCACTAAGTTAAATGTACACAGAATATTTCTGAAAATCAGACTCAGGTCTCATAACATTGCATCACAAATCTGTAGAGAAACAGAGCTTGAAATACCTCTACTCAGTACTAAATACGTAATTTTTGAGCAAACACAAATTCTAAGGCGTATTACAGTTGTAGCAACTATATTTCGTGCAATTGTTTAAGAGAAATCTTGTATTTTCTTTCTGGATCCATTGGTGATAATGAAAGGGACATCAAATACTTATGACAAAACAACCTATCAAGTTCAGATATAGGTATATCCCATAACTGGTTTAAAGTCTGAAAAGTCCTTGTGCATCTTACAAAGAGGAAAACATCATCGAATCACACAGTGAATGTTGYACTTTCTAATATAACTCTTCTGTCTGACACAAGAAAAGAACAACCATATGATTGTTTGTGAGCATTAGAAAAATCTGAAGACTACATATTTGCAGGAGTGTTTGCAACACCAGAATGAAAGCAAATCCTTAAGTAAATCTTACCAATAACACAAATGAAACATCTTTTGAAACAGCACTACATTATCGAACACAGTATTACCTTGGAAAGTCCTGCTCTCTCTTTGGCAAGCTTCTGTTTCTTCCTTCCTGTAAGAATAAAAATATCTTTTATTTTCAATTTGCAATTAAAAAGCCTTTGAGATTATAGTCTGAAATCATGAACAAATCAAAGTTCTTTTCAAAAGAAGGAACAGTTAATGTATTCCAAAATGGAAGATTAAGCACAAGACTGCAACCCACTCTGTGCAACAGAACATCATTTAGAGGTCTAATGAGGGCTGRCAGTAGCACCAACTCAAAATGGCAATTTTGTCAGAACATTCTTTTACCTTAACCTGATGGCTACAGCAAACACCAGCTATGCAGGGCCTGCAGCACAGCACACCTCATGCACTGCAGGCATACAGAAGCAAARAGAATTAGAGTGATACGAGAATTATCAAAATGATTTCTAACAGTAAGCCACAGAAGAACTGTCTACAAGTCAAGGCTATCCAGTCTTGAACTGCATGATGCATCACTAAGGAAGGGAAACTTTAGCAGGCCACAGCAGATGCACAGAGTGAACTTTCTCTTCTTTGCTACGTTATAGCAAAGATTTAGGCACTAGTTAATAAGTGGCAGTGTCTCATCATCCCCCAGCAAGAGCAATACTCGAGCATACATTTCTGAAACCTGAGAAAAGCAAACATTTACAGATGGAACAAACATTTACAGATTTAATTGCCTAACCTAAAGGCAAAAAGTTCATCTGCTACGTGAAGCTGTAGCACTCCAGTAAAACTAGTGTAATTAAAACTAAAGTTGCTTTTAATGCAGCTAGGCAGGTATAAAGTTACTTTTATAGCAGCAGCTCTTCATACAAGAAAAAATAATTATACTAACACTGATAATTTCCTTGGAATAACAATTATTTTTGTAAGTCTTCAGTTCATCAACTGAAAGTTACATCAGTAAAACCTCTGAATACAGCCCACGGTTAAACTGTCCTCTCACACTTTGTCTTCAGTGTCTGCTCAAAAAACTCCTATATTGACAAAGAATAGTCACCCAGCCCTGATTTTTCTTTTGATACAGTTTTACAAGCTGGAAGTACTTCCAAATATGAYTTGCAGCTTTTAAATAGCAATTAAAAATGTTCAACTGTCCATATGATGAAGACATTCAGGAATACTATCCCCTAGTAGTCTGATAACCTAACATGTGACATAAACAGACAAAACTGTGTTCTTTACACAAAGGGAGTTCACATTCTAGCTAGATAGAACACCCTTTTACCTTAACACAACACCATAAAACATTTAGCACTTAAAATTTCCACAACTTATTGACCTGCATATGTTATTTTATATGATATACAGAAAAATGTGTTGGATAGAACTGTAGTATACTATAATTTTATAATTTTGGTGGGTTTCAATATTAAAGAATTTCTCTTGAAAGTTAATGCTTCAATTAGCTCACTCCAACTTTCTGGAAACATAAATCTGCACAAAACTTTAAACTGCTCTACAATGCAAACAAGTTTTCATAATAGATAAAATCCTAAAGATGAAATTAAAAATATTTAGTATTTGAAATGTTTCACTATCAAAACAATCCATGGTGCAACTGTACTGCATTCAGCAAAAACACCAAAGAGAAAWGCAAAAAGTGCTATCTTAACTTTTGTACATCATTTTCAGGAGAAAATTGTGTTTTCTTGGCATGACTGTGACACCTTCCAAAATATTAAAAAAGGTATAATTAACCAGGTTAAGCATTCTGAAATAAAGAACAAAACAAAAGACTAATGAAAGCTTTTGACCACTGATCATGCAGACTTGAAATCAGGTACTTGAACCTGAAAATAGTGAAGAGATATGAAGAGTCATCAAGATTTTAAAACTGAACACTGATCTACCAAATCCTTCAAGTCTGAGTACTATGGAACTTTTCTTTCTCTTCTTAATGCTTTTTCACATGCTCTTTGAAAGCTCGCTAGCTCAAACAATTACAAAACCCAAGTAACTCTAAAGGATATTTACGAATTCTTCCCATAGTGTCTGGGAAGATATACTAGTTTCAAAGTATCTTTGCACTAACAGCCAAAAGTTACATTTGTAATTGGACAAGCAAAAAGCGATGGTTTTGAGAAGTAAGAAACCCCCCCCCAAAAAAAAGAACAAACAGAAAAACTACCCCACACCTAAAAAAACACCCAAGTTTGTTTTCCCTCAAGAACCTCCACGAAAATGAAACGACTGCCTCTTTCCTAAACAGAGAGTCACATTTAAAAGGGGGAAAGGCTTTACATAATCTTTCATCAAATGAAACTTTATTACCACAGAAATGTAGTGCATCCATCCAAAACACAATGCTAAACTGCAGCTCTAACATGGCAGGGGCTCCAGGCACAGCTCTTGTACAAGGGTACAAGTTTCAAAAGAGAACCGATGGATAACTCATCCTRCTGGCATGGGTTGCAAAAACCCCTAAGTAAGCAGCTTCCCAACCAGACCCACAATGGAGCAGAAGGCCCAAAAAGCCACTCACATTTTCAGCTCCCATGAGTGAAGTCTGCCTTCTGCCCTCCTCTCACTATGCTGTCCAGGTAGAAGGCGTTCTTGAGCAAAACTCAGCATGGTTGGAAATTCTGGCTGTCTCTGAACAAGATACTGTGTCTATACTTTAAACCAGAACACTTCTATTTTATTCATTCAAGAAGGCAAACAGTAAACATAACTAAAACATTTTAATCATAAAACAAAATACAACTGGGGARGCTAAGCAGCTACAGATGTTTACAGCTTTGATATCTTTTGGTCCCAAGACTAAATATGGCATGCCTCCAAATTAGCAACTCCAAAATCTAAAAAAAACAAAACAACAAAACAAGAGAAAAACCCACCCACAAAACCTGTTAAACAAGATTACACCATCTGGAAAATCAAAGACCAGTAGTTTTTCAARCCTTCCAGTAACTTTCAGGAAACCAATTTTTTTTCCAGAAACCTAAATCTGGCCACTTTATTTTTATCACAGGCCTTTGCAATGTAAACATTGGCCCTAACACAGCCCATAGGGATGTACAATGTAACTGGGAGGGTAAAAACCACAAGTGGCTCTTCATTTGTGTCAGCATGTGCTCAACCAAACATGACAGGCAATCCACTGACATGCCAGATCTCCTGTCCTTCCCTAATTCTGGTGACACTGCATCAAAGAGGCTGAAAAAGGATCTTATCCTAAGAAGGTTAAGGGAAAAGATGTGTTGTAAAGGAGGTTTCTACAAGCTTTCCATCCCATATCCCCACTACTGCACAACACATGGAGCTCCTTTACATAAGGAACTACAAGTRGTTGCTGTTGCACTGAACCTTTCCTGGTCAAGTACTTGACAGCCCACACCTTCCTGTCTACTCAACAGTTAAAATACTGCAATAACTAGATCCCTGGCACCACTGAAGTGTCCATACAAAATAATCAGTTACACTACCAAAAAACATAAATAAAGACAAGTTTCTTAATATTAAGGAAAGCCTTACCACGAAATGTAGACCAGTGCATCACGTGCATGAATCGTACGTCATACAATGATGTCCTCCAAATGACAACTGCCACCTTCTATCAAACCACAGTGGATTTGTTTTCCATTTCAAAGATAATGTCAATTCCTAATATTCTACGTTTTATTCAGAATATGACTGGATAGAGGCTCAGATTATGAAAACCTGGAATGCAAAAATAATTTCTGGTGCTTCTGCAAAACCTTACACACAATTCGGTGTTTCTCCTACTACATATTTGGCATCATAAAAAAACTGCCATAGCTGATTATGCTGCCAAAAGTCTACTTTGCTTGTGCAAGACAAGGACATAGCGATTAAATGCACTAAAATTTCCCAATTAATGACTTGCACTGAAGGGAAAAAAGGACTTGGAAGATGCACAAGAGGTATGTGCCTAAAATCCTACATACAGGAGTGCTGAAATATTTGACAGGCATAATTTGCTGTAGAGGGGCTTTCAGAAAGAAGAATTAATGCCCTGCTGAGCAACAACACTGTCCCCTCAAATTCAATCCAAGAAGGCAGAATCAAAGCTTTTAAACTACATTTTAATGTTATCAGGTAAATGCTCATTTTCAACCCGTCTAGYTATTGACTTTTCCATCCGTGAAACTGCTGATCACATAATGTTTACTTGCCAGGAAAAATTTACTTTAATGGTAACTTCTTATCTTCAGATTAGTTAGCAAAGGAATAATATACATATTGCACTGACAGAAATAACTCAGCACAAGAAGTACCACTTTATTTCTCATGATTCATTTACATTCCTTCAGTACTAGTGCCTACAATTGCATTTAAAACCCTCAGTGATTATTAAAACATTTAAATAAATGTTGAAGACGTGAAATAATGAAGAGCCATGGGAGAAGAGCTCTACATCTTGGATTAATCAACAGTTTTCTCTGGCATTCATTCTTATCCTGGAAGCCAGTGGCAGGGCTGCCAGGAGGGTTTAGAATGCAGATGATGAAATATCTGGGAGCTGCCACCGACCCCTGCCTCACCACAGCAACAGCTTCACTGTAAGAGATCATGTTGTTTTACCTGCTTGACTTCCAAAAGAAAAAAAAAAAAAAAAAAAAAAAAAAAAAAAAAAAACAAACCCAAAGTCACGACGTAAATGTGGTGGCTATAACAGCATGGCTGAGCCCGTAGCACAGAAAGGTTCAAAAAAAAAGGTGGGGCAGAGGTGAGGTTGAACCTAAGATCGATGGAAACCACAGGTTACCCAACCCCTGCTTTCCTATGGGACGACCTGGTCTAGAATCCCATGAAAGGAGATTGTAGTGAGGTGCGGATCAGTCTCTCCTACGGTGCTTGAAGTGAGAGGACCAGAGAAAATGGCCTTAAAGTGAGACAAGGGAGATTTAGATTATACAACAGAAAATATCTTTTGCATCGTTAAAGTGGTCGGGTATTGGAATAGATTGCCCAGGGAACTGGTGGAGTCACCATCCCCCGGGGTGTTCAAGAGGCATCTGGATCTGGYGCTGGGCGATGCTGGTTAGTACTGCAGGGGTTGCAGTGGTAGTGCTGGCAGGAGGGTTGGACGGGACGGTCTCGAAGGTATCTTCCAATTTTGATGGTTCTGTGACTTTGTAACCCGGCCCCTGATTTCGGTGAAGGGACGGCGGGAGGCCACAAGGCGGCAAGGGCCGCGGGGATCTGGGGCGGAGAGTGCGGGGGGACCCCGGCCGGGCCCGGGGGCGGGGACGGCGCTGCGGCGGCACCACGTGCCGCCTTCCCGCGTCCCGGCCGGGCGGGTGAGGGAGGAAGAAATACGGGGGATCCCYGGAGGAAGAGCGCGGCGGCGGGAAGGGATGGAACGGGAGGGAAGGGGAGGGGGCGTCCCGGGACACTCACGCTCGCGCAGCCGGTTCTTGAAATTGGGGTCGCTCCGCCTCTTGCGGTCGAAGTAGATGCAGTATCCGATGAAGAGCGCCCCGCAGAGCCCCGCGGCGATGGCGCTGGTCCTGCCCACCATCATGGCGCTGCCGCCGCCCCCGCCCGCTCCCGCCGCGCGGCCCGCGCCCAGCTCCGCAGGCACCTTGGGGCGAGCGGGCACAGGGAAAGGACCCCTCCTCCCTTCCGCTCACGTCATCAGCCGGCGGCAGCAGGGGCGCCCCCGCAGTGCCTGAGCGAATGGCGGGGCGCATGCGCGGACTCACGCGCGCGGGCAGAGGGGCGTGGCCCGAGATTCGGCGTTTGCGCGCCAAACGCTGTGAGGGGCCGGGAGAGCGGGAAACGCCATCCCAGGGAAACAGCTCTGGGGTCATCGCGTCCAGCCTCTGGCCGAACGCCACCGTGTCAGCCAGACCATGGCACTCAGGGCCACATCCAGTCTTTCTTTAGGCACCACCAGGGACGGTGATTCCCGCACCTCCCTGGGCAGCCCGTTCCGGTGTCACTCTTTCTGTGAAGAAATTCCTCTTCATGCCCAATCTAAACCTCCCTGGCACAGCTTGAGRCTATGTCCTCTCATCCCGTCACTTGTTGCCAGGGAGAAGAAACTGTCCCCCACCTGGCTACAGTTTCCTTTCAGAGTTTTTTAGAGCCCTAAAGTCCTCCCTGAGAATCCTTTCCTCCAGGTTAAAAATCCCCAGCTCCCTCAGTCGCTCCTCCTAAGACTTGTGCTCCAGACCCTTCACCACCTCTATCACCAGTCTCTGGACAACARAAAAACACCCAAATCAAGCTAACGATTTCTGCTTCATCACAGACCCAGTCTGCATGTGAGTCACTTTTTTTCTATAGGTATTGTGTGTGATCCTATACAGCTCCCAAAGAAAGAATGCACAGTTAACCATTGCAGCAACCTCAGCTAGAGATGGATTCCAGGAACACGGGAATAAAATCATGCAACAGCTCCTGCTGCCTTCTGGGAGAAGCCAAATGCCCCAGCACAAACACCAAGAATGACAACTGTTGTTATTAGCAAAAAAAAATTTATGATACAACACTCATACATATCCATCTGTGTAAAACWAATCAGCATTTTTATCAGATTGATTTTTTATCAAAGGACTGTTTGTTTTTCCCAGCTTTATTCCTAGGAGTAGTTTTCAGTCTTTTTGGTTTCGTGGTCTTCCTTAATGGGGCTGCTTTTTCACCAACAAAAGAATCATTAGAATGGCTCTTCTCTTTTTTCTTCTTCTTATCAACTCTGTCCTTGGGAGCAAAAGACTGGTCTGGAGTTTTCTGTGCTTTCCTGCTGTCCACTATGCGCTGCACTCGTATCTTTCTTCCCATCAGAACAGAGTTGTTGAGTTTCAGAGCAAGATGTACAGCATCTGTRTTCTACAAAACCAGACACCCAGCTTAAAAAACAGCATTACTTCCAACTGATTTGTTTTAAACAAATGGTTACCCTTCTTTAAAATTCGCAAGCAGAATTTTACAATGAAGAGCACTTAAATCGCTCTGTTTAGGAAATGACACAACATCCCTGCCCAGGAACACCAGCACCCCCACACAGCCCATACACTGAGGCACAGATACTTTAAAACAGGCTATGAAAAAGCTTACATGAGACACCAAAGTCTGAGGCAGAGAGACAAGGAGAAATTGGGAAAAAAGGCGTCAGGCTGCAGGAAATGAACTAAGGAAGATGAGGCTGGGAGCCTGCCATAAAAAGGGACGTTGTAATCAAAAGTGGAGAGCCAGTAAGCAAATCAGCTGTAGGAAAGAATTCCACTCATATTTTGACACATGCTGCAGTTACACCCAACAAACTCATCTGTCCCTCCTTTAGGTGTCTACCTTAAAGTCACTTCTTTCCCCTCAGTGTGTACTATCTGCTTGTTTCATATCTGCTTCCACAGAACCGGTCTTCCAAGCTGCTTTCACCAAACACAACAACGCTACCATTTAACATCACACATATACACATACACACCCCAAAAAATTACTAAAAAGAAGATAAAAATGCTCTAAAGTCAGACCCCGATTGAGATTTTGAAGAATTCCCTGTGTGCTGGAGCAGGTTGTTCACATGTACCTCAAAGAGGACGTAGCCAAAGCCTTTCCCCAAGCCCGTCCTCCTGTCTCTCACAACTCGCACTCCGACGATGCCTCCACAGTCATGGAAGTGCTCCCGCACAGCGTCATCACGGATGTCTGCAGGCAACACAACAGAACAGATGCCTCTTCAGGAAGTCACACAGCTTTAAAAGCCTGGCCCAAATCCAACTATTTCACATTTACCCATTCAGAGACAGAAATATATTGAAAGATATATATTGTCATATGAATGCAGATAGGTAGACAAGTATCAGTGGCTCAGAAAAATCCCAGCAAGTTGACAATGAGCTATTTACTCTAAGTTACTGATTCTTCAGCTCTGAAGAGTACAACATAAATCACAAAGAATGCAGGCAAAGACTGAAATAAATTTTTCAAATTATTTAATTTATGGTTGGAACATAGTAGAAATTAAGATCCTGTTATACATTTTTGTACCTCCTCCTTATGCCAGGATTTCTTTCTGATGAAGAATTCATGCTGATGATAAAGAATTTGAGCTGGCACTTCCTCTAACTGCTGATTGACTGAGCCATGAATTTTAGCTGAATGGGGGAGAATGTGATTTCCAACCACAGCTGGTACACAATTATTCTGATAATGGCTGGACATGTGAGGCTTTCTCCATCTCATCCCTAGGTGGACAAGTGTGATGTACCATCACAAACACAGGTTATTTTCTTTTTYTGTATAGGTACACTTTGTACAATCCCCTGACGAAGGCATAAACCTCTCTGCTAAGGGGAGGGGCTGAACAGTTTAAATACAGCAATGGGACCTAGATGTGAGGAGAAAGGTCCAAGCTGCTGAAGTAATTTCAGAGCACAGCACATCACAGAATCATAGAATATTCTGAGTTGAACTGGCCCACAATAATCATCAAGTCCATCTTAGCCCTGTCTGGACAGAGTCACTCAGCCTGTGGCTCACAGAAAGCATCAAAATGAGAAGCAATCACMGTCAATCCCTTGGAATTGGTTTACAAACAGGTATTGGTACCCTTGAGCAGTTTAGAAAGCTATGCAACTTAGTAATACATAGTTAAAAACCAAGAAACAATAAGAACTAAAAGCRTTTGCAGTGCTACCTGCAATAAAGAAAAAATTAAGCTGCAGAACTTGAGAGAAACTTACAACTCCTTTAGCTGTTTCAATTAACAAAGAAGAATTAATTCCAGCAAAAATGTATCTACCTAAACATGCTACCCTAAATACAAAGAAATAAAAAGTCTAATATCAACATATTCCATAAATGCTAAATAATGATGCATAACAATCCATTTTAGACTTACCATATGAAAGATTTCCCAAGAATACAGATCGTTTGTTGTCATGCTASAGACAACAAGAAAGACAGAACAATAAGTTATTTGTTACAGAAAACAACAAAACCAATAAAAACATTACAACCAAACCAGAAAAGGCCACACATCTTACTTACCGAACTGGTTTTAGATGCAGTGTCAACTCTGATGTGAAATCCACTAGCAATTTCTGTTCCATTCCTTTCATAAGCAAAAGTTTTGAAAGTGAAATAAGCGTTACTTAATGAACAATGTCACCATATAAGAGTATTCCAAAAGCAAAGTTACTTTTAAGTTTGAACCTACATTTTATTCTAATTCAAGCAAAAGAGGGGAGGTTGTTTAAATTTAGCTGTAAGTCTACTTGATCTACCTCTTCAAAAGGGAATGAGGAACAAAACTCAGACTTACTCCTTCAGAGCCTTCTGGGCATCACATTCTTCCTTAAAGACAACATAGGCATTGATGAACTTTGCATTTGGGTGCACCTTATGCCTGGAACATAAAAAGGACACATTACTGCTTAAATCCTGCTGATGCTGTGCAGTGCACAAACCCTTCTGGCTGAACACATTAATGCCTCTGCTTGTTTTTTTGCACACTAACAACTTCATTTGCTTGCAGGTCAAGCTACCCCTGTATGTGCAATGGAGTCCCAGCCCATATATGCACCTTGTGCAAGCTTCCTCAGCTCACAAACCCAAAGAAATTAAAGACTTCTAGCATCTTCCTCCATCCTAAAATGTAAGAAATGCAACCTCAGGCAACAAATTACTAGTACACATGGTACATAATTCTTTATTGCTTGTTACGAAAATTTAAAGGCACAAAGGTAATGACAGAAGACAAAGAAGCACCAAATACGTAAAAAGGACCTGATACAGGCAAACCTTTAACAACCAACACTTCAACACTGTCTAGGCCTTGAAAAATAATACACACAAGGAACCTACTTGATTGCTGCTACCTTTTTGGATACAGTATCTTCTGCTGGAATCTTAAAGATAAAAAGAGCTTGAGTTAGGTGGGCCTAGTGTCAACTTATGACAAAGTTTTTCTGTAAAACAAAGAGGAGTCAAACAGGTGCCACCCAAAGACGCATAGCCAACACAGTGAGCAAGTGACAGAAACAGCTTTTCATACAGACAGTCTAAAAAGCCCTTGGAGTTAAAGAACTTGCTTTGACTTTGTCTGACATCTTTCTTGAGTTCCAAGAGGATTATCACCAACAATTTCAGTGAGTACACTGACTTACAACCAATGTGTCTTTGCTACTATTATTTAAAAACAGGTCAACAATGCCTTAGCTAAATGAGCAATAATAAAAGCATTCTTTTTTTTCACAGAATATAAAGCTCTGATCCTGGAGCAGCTGCTGCTGCTTCTGGAAAAATTAATCGGTGGTGCTCCTGGACTAACATCTCCAAGGTTTCTTCTAATAGCAAAACCCACATATCCCCAAACCACTTCTGAATTAATAAAGGTACAAGCCTTACAAATACTACTGCCCTTCAACACCAACAAATAATTTTGTTTTATAATATTACAGAAAATAACATACCAGAGACCGGAAGCGAATGGATTGGATTTGGCCATACTTCTTAAAAAGAGATTTCAGTACCTAAACAGATACAATATTACAAATATTCAGTATATTTTTCAACCTGGTAATGAGAATTATGTTTTAGTACTTATAAGTAATACTGTTCTTACACTGTTTTCWTTTACTTATAGGAGATCACTTAAGGGCTGGTAAAAAAATGCAAGTAATTCACAACYATTTCTGTGTTTTTGTGGCAGCTTCTTCTTCTACAGATAGCCAAAACTGAAGTTGTGCCTCCTACTGTAAAGAAAGTATAAATTTAACATGTTTTATGTAATGATCTGAAGCACTGGTTGCATAAAAACTTAGAAGCAGAGTAACTTCGTAAATGGAGTTTTCATTTATTCAGTCATTTTTTCATTGACAAGGAACTGACGAATTATACTGAAGAGTCACTGCATCCACTGCTGTAGGAAGCCCAAYTCCATGAAACCAGAGATTGTCTCTAATTGGTTTCTGAGAACAAGCATTACTTCCTACTTTCCAATCAGTTCCAATCACAAATGTGTATGATTTCCCAGCTGGAAACATCCCCTCAAACTGGGGACTGCTGTAACTCCTTTCACTGCTTTAGCTGACAGAACCCACCCACGTACCGGAACAGTACAGCTGACAGGCAAGTTTCCAACAAACACCGTTCTTCTGTCTGCTGTTTCATCAGCGACCCTTTTTCTCTTTTGCTGTTTTGCAGCAGCACCCAYAGCTGAATTAACAACATTTTTGGTGATGGCTTGAGAAGTCTTTTTCTTTTGCTTCRCTTTGTTTTGAAAGAGTTTTTGATCCTCCTCCTCATCTGCCTGCTCCAAAGCRTTCTCTCTGACCAGAAACAGACAGACAGGTTACAATCAATGGGAAAGAAACAGGGGTTTTGAGGTCAAAGAACTGAAGCCTYCACAATGTTTTAACTTACATTTTAAATTAGTATGTTAAACTTCAAATTTCAAACATTATTTTGTTTATTTTGTATTAAACAAATGTATTTGACTATTCAGTAACATGAAAAATCATTTGCTGTCCCGAGGACACTGTATTCACTATTTACCAGCAGTAACACAGAAATACTTCAGAATTAAATAATTGAAGGAGAAAATATAAATCATCTTTGCAACCTAGAACTAAGTACAGATTTAATGCTTCCCAATATCCTGGACACTCAGAACAAACCTCTGGAATACCGCCTTGCATTAACAAACCTCTGTCTATCCAAACCTGCCAGAAGAGCACGAACAGTGAGCAGATCTGAAGGAGTCTCTGAAAKGCTACAGATGTAAACACAGCAAGCAGGTTCCATGTGCATGGAGGAGGCAACAACASCCAGTGCCAGGGAGAGGATGAGGTGTTAACCTTATGCCATAATCAAGTACACTTTGTTATCCAAATTGCACTGCAGAGTGACCAGCTTTCAGCCTGCTCTGACAGTGCTTTGCTTCAATCATTTACAAGAACAGAGAGCATCACAGAGAGGTTCTGTGTCACTGCAGATGCCCAGTGGGATAAACAGTTCACTGTGCCTGGCACCTTGCCCTTGCTGAAACCACCTCTGCTGGATAAAGCCAAGGACAGCTAGAAAGCATCTCCCTGTGCCAGGGTGAACTAGATCAACRTGCCTTCATCTCCTGATGGCCCTCTAACAGGGCATGTGCACTTCACGGACCTAGTGTTTTCAAGAAGCTGCACTACTTCCTCCTTCAGGGGAAAACTACAGACAATTTGTACAATCTTAAAAATAATCTTAAACACCAAGCTGAAGGTGAGTAGTAGATGAGAACTTCACTATTTTATCAAATTCATATTACGGTTAATGCAGATGTTGTGGGGTTTAATTTTATCATAAAATGGTGTCACCTACTGACCTCTCTGCCAGTTTTTTCTCTGCTTCTGAATGTTCCTTTTTTCTGGCTTYCTTTGCTTTTACCGGACGTTGTTGCACGACGGACGAGCCCTGGTCTTCTGACACTTTCTCTCCTTCTTCTGCACGCTTTCTTTTCTTATTTTCCTTTWAAAAAATGGCAAGAGAACAGACTTGAAGGGCAAAATTCCAGGAACGCCCTGCAGTTACTTCACATACTACAAATTATTTGGAGCGCCACTGCCCGAAGCCCACCGCTGCAGGATGTGTGTGRAGCGCCACTGCCCCACCCCCACCCCCCGGCCAGCCGGGAGCGCTGCCCCGGCACTCGCTCACTCACCATCGGCACGGCCACCAGCACCGGCGGGGCGGCGGCGCTGAAAAGGCGAGCGAGGGGCGCAGCGGGCGCCGCGCCCGCCCCGAGGCTGCCCGACACCTGTCCTACCACGTACTCCTCCTCCTCCTTGGCCGCCGGTGGCTGCTGCGCCCCCGCGCCCCTCCGGCGGATCCCCATCGTGGGCACCGAGGGCGGTGGGAAATAGCTCAACCCGCGTCACTTCCGACGCGCGGGGGCGGGCGGCGTTCCCGGGACCGCCCCTGTTCCCTCCTCCTCCGCCACCCCCCGCAGYCCTTCCCCGAGCCGGGAGCTGCCCACGGCTACCACGGGATGGTGCCGCGCGTGTGCCCGTCCTGCCGCGCTCCGCGCGGGCACGATGGCACCGGGGGAACATCCAACATCTGAATGAGATGGCCATAGTCTTAAACTGTGCCAGGGTAGGTTTAGGTTGAACATGAGGACGGAATTTTTCACAGAAATTATGATTAGACATTGGAATGGATTGCCAGGGAGATGGTGGAGCCAGGATCCCTGGAAGTGTTTAAAGAAAGACTGGACATGGCACTGAGGCCATGGTCTGGTTGACAGAATGGGGTTTGGTCACAGACTGGACTCTATGAGCCCAGAGGGATTTTCCAGCCTAATTGRTTCTGTGATGAGCATGTGATGGGACTGTCTCATTGATTTCCATCCTCAGAGCTATGGGCAGCTGAAGCAAATCTGAAGGTTCTTTGGCTGTCTCCTTACACATTTGATGCACTTTTCTGGCTTKTTGAGCTCGAAGCAGTTTTGCTGGCATCAGCATCCAATCAAAGGCAAAACAAGGAACCCAGCTGTGGAATACAGGAAAAGGATCGGTCTTGACACATGGATGCTAAGCAAAGGCAGTGACCTTCATGGAGGGGGGGTCAGCCCTAGAGAATGCATAAATCCTTGAAAAGGGACAGGTGGCTGCTGCATGAGTTGTAGTGGTTTTCCAAGCTGCCTTCACAGAGGACCAGCACTGTAGTGACACAGGAGAGGCAGAAAAGGCTCAACCATCATCCATCCCATTTCAGAGACTCATAGCCACTGAAACTCAGCAAGAGGCACACAGTCTCCACAGACTCTGCCTGAAAGGAGTTCAAGCCCTGTGCCAACAGCAAAATTCCACAGCATGATGGGAACTACCAAGTCATAAGTATGTACAGGCATCAGTTGAGACTGTAAATTAATGRAGGTGGGAGCACGGCTGAGCCTTCAAGTAAGGTGTGTTTTATCTCAGCATATGCTGATCTCAGCTGTTCYCAACATGACCAATTGCGAGACACAAACCCAAGTCTGTCGCTCAGCCAAGGTATAGAGAATACAGCAGGGGTTRTTTGTTCTGCTTCTCCTTTTGGGTTGTGATCCAAGCAGGCACTCAGGAGTACGGTCACAGCCCAGCAGGCACTGCTAGTGACAAACTTCYTCAGCTGCACGCAGAATGCACGTGCCAGGCAGGGAGCTCACCCACATGTAAAGCTGAATACAATACATACCCTGAAAAGCAGCTCAGATTTGACCCACTGGAACAGCAGATAAAGCTTCCTGCCAAAGCTACCTTCCTTTGTGGCCACTGGGAGACAAGTGGTTCCATGAATCTGGTGAGTACCATTTACAGACACAGAAGAGGTGCAACGTAACACATTCAGACAGATGTTTGAGTAGCCACTAAACCGCATCAGAAATATGAYGAAAATTAAATAATCTCTGTACTAAGGAAAGTAAAAATCCTATTAATGCAAAAACTCAACTTGGGAGCAGGGAGATGACTAATGATCCCTGCTTTAATCAGGTAAACAAACCCCCTCCCAGATCACAYAGTCACATCAAAGCAAATATGCTGGCACTAAAACAAAGAGCTGATCAAGAACTAATTGTGAATGAAGAGCTGCATTTGAATTTGGCTCACCCAGATATAGTTCCCAGTCATATCCATACACTTTATACCCACTGAGACTGAAATGTAGAACCAAACTACTATGACACTGATTCCACTAAACTGAAATAGATGAAAATACCCTCTGAGTAGCTTCACTGAAAATATTAAAATCACCAATCAGACTCAGATCACCATAATTCTTAACACAGTCAATGTCTCCAAAGCTTATTCATCATGGTTTGTTACTGTCAGTCTCATCAGAAATGTGTCACTTTGCAGGTGTAACAGTATTTTGGTCACCTGAACCATAGCCAGTAGTTTGTTTCAACTGACACTGCCTTAATGATGGGCCACACTTTCACTTCCTGTGAAAAAGATAATGGATTTGAATTAATCACTAACAGGAAATTAGGCACATGCACCTGCTCTAGCTTATCTTTATATGCCCATTACATCACATCAAAGATCATCTGCTAAATTGATTCTGCAGCTTGAAGTAGTTTTCATGAACATACTACAGTTGCTTAATTAAACCGTTAGAAACAAAAATCAGGGATTCACAAACTATGGCATTTTATTTCAGAGGCCTTTGCTTACATTTATACAATATATTACATAACTCTCCATTTTCTGCAGAACCTAATATATATTTTATAGCTTTTTTCTATAAGCTTTTCCTTCAATGTCTGTCAACAAATTTTTACAGTCCTGTACAATTCTGAATACTTTGAAACCATTTTCAATAAAATCAGTTATAACCTTAAGCACACACTACGAAGACTGAAAATGCTTTTCTTAGAAAAGTCAAATGAAAAGGATTCTGACACTCTAGCATCTACAAACAAAATGCTTCGAATTCTTACATGTTGTATTGCCAGAAAACAAAGAAAAACATGCCAGCCCCTATTTCCCCAGGCAAAAGAAGTACACAGAACTACAATTAAAACAGTAAAACAATCTGTACAATAAAGTACTGTGTATTAACAGTGCCAGGTATTAAATAGCTTGAATGAACACTTCCGCAATATACAAATGTCTTACAAAGGTATAGAATTAACAGGAGAGAGCTTGGGATCCATTAAACATAAAATCAATACAAGTGAAAACATTTTTAAGTTGATTTTGGAATTTGTACAAGGCATTTAAAAAATTAAACATCTACCACTCGGCTAGCTAGTTATTTTTAAAACAACTATCCTTTTGTGGCAGTGTTGGTATCAGCAACCACAAATTATAACTCACACCTTACTCCCTCTTGAAGTCCTCTCCTTGCAGCTCGTAATAAAATAAGCATTACAAATGAAATATTTGTTGCTTTAAGGGGAAAAGAAACATTTACAAGAAAACACAAAAATATACCTGTTATAATCCATTATGAATAAATATACACTTTAAACTGGCTGAATACAATCTTTATACATTAAGTTTTAATACAGTTTGTTAGCCATTTTCTTTCTTTTTCATAATGTATTTTATCAAAATTAAAAAAAAATACTGTTTTATAGAAAAATGGCAAAGTACAGTAGTTTCATTCCAATTAACGGGTTCTTAAAACCCAGAGTAACCTATTTAAGCCTAATTCAAACCTGTAAACATTAGTCAGTCTTTTTTTTTTTTTTTTTTTTTAAGGAATCCTCATATTTGGTTATCAGGACCGATGTCAGACATCCTACTAACTGCAGGTTTTGAATAGATGTGCTTGACGTATACAATTAAAGCCACTATAAGGTGACTTTGCAGTTAAAAAACAATTAGCTCGTACAAATGAAAATATTTTCAATATTTGTCATAAATAAATGGAAAAATATCAAATGTTCCAGCTTTAACAAAATACTAGGGAATACAGTAAGCCTTACCACATTGATTTAGATCACCCCAACAACTATATACTTATTGTCCTGTCTCTACAGGCAGTGAACAGCCTCCATTTGCCACAGTGGAAGGCCTTCGAGTCACTAGACTTACAATTCCCAGACAAGTTGGAAACAATTATTGCTTGAGGAAAAGCAGTTTGTTGTACTTTTTCTTCATAAAAGTGCACTTAAGTGCAAAGTTAGCTTGTCAAGAAACAACTTTAAATACAAAATAGTGCTTGTCTGAATTTTGTGCCACTGTGCAGTATAAAAAAAAAAAAGAAAAAAAAAAAGTGGCCCTCAGCAGCCATTAAGTGCAAAGTGCTTTGGCAAGTCCTGCTGTCACCTGCACTCAACTGACATTCCGTTCTGTGATGAACTTGACATAGATGGTTCTGCTAAGGTTAACATAACTGCAGCTGTAATGGAACTAGAGGAAGGTGATGAGGAGGATGATGATGTAGTAGCAGCACCTGCACAGGAAAAGGAAAACACAGGTTACAGAGATTCATAGATMAAGCAATAAAGATGTTTTCCCATGCAGCAGCAAGCACTGGTACATACTGACTTCAGCAACCAATGCCTAGCAATTTAAAAGAAAGAAGCCTCCATTTCCTAGTTTGTGTAGGAAATACTCTGACAAGAATACTCAGCTGTGTGCAAGGCAGTGCAGCACTGTTACCCCTTGCAGCCTTCAGTCATCAACCACCCAGATCAAGGGCCCAGCCAAAGGGTGCCAGAGCTCATTCCTGACCCACCAGCCCAGTCAGCAGTTCCCTTTCTTTCCCATGGGAATCAGCACAGGCCCTTGTCCTGGCGCTGAATCTGCACATTCACCCTGCTCTGGCAACCAAGCAGCAATTGCCACTCCCATGTCATGGCTGCAGCCATGACAGACATCCTGCTGTACATGGCATATCTCACACAGAAAATGACCCTTTTAGCACTCCTAGAAGCAGGCATACTAGAACATTCCTTACAGCAATAGGAGCTTCTGAAATATGAGAAATTTAACTGGTCTTCCTTAAAGTAATGGAATAAATTCCTTATCCTGAGGGAAAAGCTGGGTCCACAATAAACATTATAGTAAATTTATCTGTAACTTGAAGGAAAGTTAAAACTTATTTATTCCCTTAGATACTTTGTTCACTGCTTAGAAAAGTTTATTTGCTGCATATTTTTTCCTGTRTGAAGTAGTTCTGCCTCAACAGCATTAAACACATTCACATTCTGTTAATGCTCTTTCCCTGGGTCACTGGGCACCCAATCCCCACCTTCTAATGGTCATAAYTGCACACAGCATTTCCCAAACCCAAGCAAAGTCATGCTCCTCATGACACATATCCCCTTATAAATTATCCAGTTCTTATCAGGACCTTAAGAGAGCATGCAATTAAGCCCTCTAAAAGTAGAATTTCGTTTCCAGCACTTACTTTCCCGCTCTTTTTTCTTTAAGCGCTTTCTTCTTCGGTCAATGGAAGCCACCTCAGATTTCAAGGACAGGTAATGTTTCCTGATTTCTTGCAATTTTTCTTGGAGAACTGTTATGCGCTCAGCACTAGTCAAATTTTCCAAGTCAGCTGCAAGTTAAACGATCTGTTAATTATTGTACTGAAGCATTTTCAAACACTTCTGAATGTCAGTGAAGTGGGAAATACTCAAATCTTAGTGATGTGCTTTGAGGGCAGCAGACAGCAAAGCTAAGAAACACAGCAACAACAGCAGCAGCTGCTGTTAATCACCACAAATTCGTTCATTTTTTTATAATTCTTTACAAAGTATYATCATACACTCTTTGGGAACTTTTTAAGGAACTGGAAGAGGAAAAAAAATGCACTCCCTTTCTCATAGGGAGGAAAATGAAAAATTTGGACAACTAGCTTTGAGCCTGTTGCTTTTAGTCCTTGTTAGAGCTCAGTTTGACCCTAGACACCAGGCAGGTCAGCCTTGTCTGACTTGTCTTGGTTGCTCAAAACAAACAGGTTGTAACAGGAATCTTCACAGCTGTGGGGTGGTTCTACTGGAGTCCCGGGCATATGTGCTATAAGGAACCACCASACAGGACCTCCGTGCTGGATATGGCTATCCCAGGAGCTGCTCCTCTGGCTGTTTCCAGCTGGGAGCTCTCCACAGCATGGTACACAGCAGTGGGTGGCACAGGCAGGGGAAACTCTCAGTTCAGTCCAGCAAAGCCACAAGGAAGCACAYTGGAGACAGTTTATTTAAAAGCATTTAAGAATCATTTAAACTGCTGTGGGGTGCAAAATGCACTACATCAACCTGTAATGAAGGCAGCACCAAAGGACCAAAAGCCACAAGTATATTAGGCTGTGGGAAAATGAGGAAAGCTCAAAGACACTGCAAGTGTCTGACTGCAACAGCAGGAAATGTGTCAGGCAGCACTCCATAGACCAACTTCTGCCAAGCAACTTTAGCAYGTGGAATGTAGCCAAGGCAGAAAGAAAGGAAGGAGCAAAAGTTCTTTAAATGTGTTGCACCAGGAAAGTGTTCAATGAATCTCAAAGGGGCAGTAAGTGACAATGAAGACCTTTTACATTAGATACTCCTGAAGAGAGTAACCAGAGTAAGCAGAATGTAACTCAATTGTGAAGAAGTAATAGGAAAAAAAAACTTTTAAAAGTACACTAATGCTGAGATTCAAGGTTGGAGAAGAAATTTAAAAAAACAACCCAGCAGATTCAGATTCAATTTCTAAGTTGCATTAATACAAGGGAATTAATAAGCTACTGATCTGTTTTCAGATAGGCAAATACATGATCCTTCCCACACTGCTCATTCCTATCTGGTCCAGTAGCTTGACTGAAACACAGTGTAAGTTCTTAATACTAGAAATAGTAAACATGACCTGTAGTAAAACATTCACTAATGCAAAAAGAGAAGGGGAAGAAGTTACAAATCAATCACCTAGTGTCTGAACAAGGACTAGAGAATGAGGAGTAAAACAGCAAGGAAATACCAACAGAAGAATCACACAGAGCAGATAATGTTCATGCCAGAATTACAGGTGTGCACAGGACAAAAAGAATAGAGGTCGGCTCAGGAGCCATATCTAAAAACAGTGCTGGAAAAGTGTGACATCAACAGTTCTCTGTGCTGCAATTGCAGAAAAGAAAACCAAAACAACCCTTTTTTTAAAAAGAGGATTTATCACAAACTTAAGCAAATTCAGGATGGACACAAGAAAGCCAGAATACACACCATTCAAAAACCCTTTTTGCGCTATGCTACAAGATGACACTGAGTGTGTTTTCAAGAAAATACTTACACATTTGAAAACTCCACTTGTAAACTTTGGGCAAACGATTATTCTGTTCTTTGAGATCAGATTCCTTCTCTCCATTTTTACCACATTTTCCTGGAGATTGTGTTCTTGTGAGTGATTTGGTTTGGTGGGATTTCATGCCAGTAGAAACTGATTTTGCTGACTGAGACTTGGACACACTTTCACCAGCAGATAGTTCATCACTGTCACTGCTGTTTGCTGAAGAAACAAGAAGACATTGTTACAAAACAAAGCCCAAACTGAAGCTTATCAGAAGCAACCTCTGTACTGATTTTTATATGATGGGAATTTACTTGACCCAAATCCTTTTACTCTAAAAYAAGATAATCCATGCTGGTGTAGCAGCTTGGCTTGATGCTCTCCACATCACTAAAGCACAAACCAGGTATAAAATGGGGCCTCTCTGATTCTGGCATGCTGTGAAACGGAAGCCTTACACTAGAAACATTGTACAGTCGTGCAGGTAAGTCAGAGCTGTTCTGTGGACCTACGGGAACCAAAATCCTACAGAGACAGAGGGTGGATAAAAGTACCAGACTGTGGCACCACAATCCATCCTGATGACTGGCAAGGATATTGCTGGAAGGGTCTGTGCAAAAACATAAGGGGCTGGATTCAGGACAAGCTTCCTGTAAGGAGATTTGAATGCAATCCAAGTGCTTAAGGTCCCTAAGGGCCTCTACTCTCCAAATGGTTCATGACAGCATTACACTCGGTGCTTCAGAACCACAGCCATAAATAAACTGCCTACATTTGAAAATAAGGTAAAGAGGCCGTCCAGTGTGTCAGCATAGGTGCCAAAATGAACCACATCTGCCTGCTCATGGGGCCGTATTTTCCTAAGAGTTCACAAGATTGATTGTTATGTTACATTCCATCTTCTGCTTACCTTTTTTTCCTATCAATTTCTAATGCAGTATTCAGTATATATAAACATCTATCCCATTTTAGAGCTAACAGTTACAGACAAATTTTGACTGTATTTTTTTAACACATGTATAGCAGACCAGAGTAAACAATCAGCCTTTTCTTAGCCTTTTGTCACTGTTATTTTAATTTTCCTCTAAAATGATTATCAGTAATCTGAATATGAGTGACATACTCTACAAATTCCTCAGACATGATGATAACATTTTTTAATTTTGGAAAAAGATCTTTAGTTGACTCAAAAGAGAAGAACTTGACTTYATCCTGAAAAAAACTTTAACTATAAAGCAACAGACTGAACACASGTTTTTAATCAAACCGCTCAAAGGATAGTAATAAAATAATCTGTCTGAAAGACATGAATTATGAGTAATGATTGAAAGGATGAAGTTTTTTTAGCATTACTAGAATAAAACTGGAGTGAGAGCAGATGCAAGAGACTGTAATTCGACACAAGTCTAGCAAAGCAGTGGAATAAAATGTCTAGGAAATCTGCAGAAACTCCATCATTAGAATTGTTTTTAAAAACACGTTGAATTCGTATCTATCAAGAAAAATGTATACAACTGCTTCAGTTTTACTTGCCCTGGGTGTTGACAAAATGAGCCCTGAACCTTTTGGTTCTGGCCTTTATAATCTGGTGATCTAAACAGGAGAAGCTGAATACCAAGACACGTGGTATGAAAGAGCTAGGCCAGCTGCTTGTTGGTGTTGGCCTAATGTTTAATGCAAAAGCAAGAGCAGTTGCCACAAAAAAAGCTTTTTTTGTTGTGGTTTTTTTTTTTGGTTTTTTTTTTTGTTTTTTTTGTTTACAGCTGGCTCACATTTTATCTATTTATTTTTCTTATTACATGCAGTAGCACCTGAATTCTAACAAAAAGGGCACATACACACCAAGGACTACGTGGTAGTAGGCTTGAAGTTTTGCATCCTTATGAAGACATATGTTGAAGAAAAGGGGTAAATTYACCAAATCCAAGGGAGTAATGGCAAGGCTAAAAATGGTGTATTAGTTCTGCAAATTCAGTTTGTTTTATTACTTTAATTCCTGGGGCAAGGGAAGGAATAAGGGTTATGGAAGGAGGGGTCCCGTGAAATGAAATTTACAGGATGAGAAAATATAAAGAGSAGATCAATGAACATGAAAGGCAGGGTGAAAGCAAATACCAGACTAGAAAGTACAGACTTTTAGTAAAAGYTGTTAATAGAAAGCAGGGAGGGAAGGTGAGGGAGAGAAAGGAAAAAAGATACGGCATATGTCTTTTATCCGTACTTTAACTCCATTTTTTACAGTTATCCTCCAGGCTTCAGTCTCTAGCTGTTTCCTGATATTTTTTTAGTGACAGTGAAATGAGGCAATAATTGATCTTCTTGTCTACCAAACACATAAGCATATGACCCCTAATACACCACTGCTTTTATTAAGCTTCCATTACCCAGTATTTTGGTATCTATTCCAATTATCTCCTGCAACTATAAAAACTGCACAAGGTGCTTTATTTACTGCAGATGTAACAGACAGCATAGGAAGAAAACAGGAGTCTAAATTCTTCTGCAATTATTCCCGTATTTGCTACAGGGTACAGATATTAACCTCTAAAAACTCATCTGGCAGAAAATACAAAGTATCATTTCCTTCAGGTCCCAGTCCCCCTCAAACAGGCAGCTATCATGATACAGAGATACCTGTCCCAATTCTGCCAAGTGTGAAATACTCACTCTTCTTGGCTTTCCTGAATTATACAGTATTAAGGACCTCTTAGAAATAGGCCCAGAAGTAATACTAGATATTTAAAAACACTTTTGCAGTTAGGTAGGTAGCTTAGGTAAAGCAGTATCTTCATTAGAACATTCTTAAGAATTCCCTGATGAGAACATTTTGTCCTAATACATTTTTTATTAACAGACTTCATCTTCTCGATCAGTTGAACAAATGACAAGGTACTTCCATACACTTTATTTCACACTAAGGTGTTGTACTTACTGGTTTTACTCTTCTTTTTGCTGTTCACAGATGTTTTGTGGCTTCTTTTCTGCTTTTTTGAGGAACTGCCTCCTCCCTGAGCATCTTTAAGTCTTTTTTGGCCTGTACAGACTATAATTGGAAAAAAAAAAAGGAACTGAAATCAAATAAATGTTTGTATTTATGTGTTTTTCTCAGTCTCAAAAAAACCCACAAAACACTTCAAAGCTTAAGTTTGTAGAAAACAATGCAACTGTTCCTGCCTATACTTAATACAGCTCAGTTTTCTATTTATATTGATGAGAGGAGGTGAAAGACAATGAAAGGCAAAGTTTCTTTGCACAGAGTGCACATGTTCAGTGATTACAAATTATAATTTCCCATTTTCCCATATGCATCACCAGAATTTCTCTTGAAACACAGATTTATTATTTTTTGAAYACTGTAAATTAAAGAATATTTAAGAATACATTTATTAAAAAAGTTATCAAGACCCACTGGGACTGAAAACTATTTTTAAAAGTTTGCTGTACTTGGAAGCTGTGAGAAAAAAAACAAAGCCATAACCTGTGACTGGTAATTACATTAACTGAAGGTATTAAAAAAATCTTAGATAATGTTTAAAAAAAGCAGTAAGAAAAGAAAGGCAAAGAAAAAACAAGAGAAAAAGTCTACTGATATTTGGGACTACAAAGGGAAAAAGGGGAAAAGGAAGGTGGAAGAATTCTAGTACACCTGCTAAAAGAGAGTGTTTTAGAAGTTCTTCAAACGTTGTTTCACAACCACATGACTTACAGATTAAAAATGACCCCTGGAATAAAACAATTTAAATTAAGAAACCCAGTTTTCTGAAACAGGCAACAGGCTGACAAAATCAGAGAGAAAGGTAAAGTCTAATGCACGTAAAAATACTCTCACAATAGTGTAAAACTTCTTTAAAGTGGCAATAAACTATTTTCATATTAAAAAACCCACATAAACTTAGTTCTAAACTTACACAGCTAAAATTAACATGTGTACAGGTGTATTCATTGTGGGGTACACATTCACCTCTTCCAAACTCTCTCTCTTTAAGGAAACGCATTTTGTTGCATACTTTCAGAAGAACGTTTCCAACAGGACACTGAAGGTAACACACCTTCAGGGCATTTTGAAAAAAATTAAGCTAATTGTTAACTGAAATTTACTGAGATTCAAAATTCCCACTTCTGCCTCAGGATTACAGCCAAAATGTATTTTCCTCCCTTGCATTCCTAATTTTTAGATACTACAACACAATGGAAGTAGCTGTACTTTTGATGAACTGCAAAAGAACCAGTCATTTTCAGAAAAAAGTTTCTGGATCTAGCCTTGCCAGCAATTAAAAAGCAAGCAGCAGTACAGCGACATCATGTGCACAAGTATTTATTATCCCTTGCTCTCTAGTGATTTCAGGAAAGGAACCTTCAGTCTGCACATCTGAAAGTGGAACATAGCTAAAAAGGTCAATGCTTTTATCAGCTTGACTTGAATCTTACAAAGTTCATGTTCTAAAAAAATACAAATTCAAAATGACTGCCTAAGCACCCTAGCAGCAGGAGGGCTTTGTTCCTCCACACAAACAAGTTATGGAGAATCAAATTTTATGCACAAAAAGCATCTTCTACYTCTAAGGAGTATATTTAAAATGCTTTCATCCTTCTACAAAAAATATTTTTTACACAWGCTATTACAGTTTTCTTTGGGCTTTTTTTTTTGCCACAAAAACTCGATTCTTTTATTCTTTATCCCTCATTGAAAACATCACAATTTCTAATGAAAGGCCAATAAACTTGCTGGCAGATCATATTTCGTTCAGTAGGTGACTATGCCATTTCCACACATTTGAAATGGACAGCGGGCTACTACTTCCTGCAACAACTGACTTGCCTGCAGCGTAACCATAACAGAATGAAAATACATCAGCAATGCTAAAAATGAGTGCTAGTTAGGTTGGAGACAGCCCTGTTTACCCTTTCCTTTACCTTTTTCAGCATGCTCTGTCTCTGGTTGATTACTACTACTGGAGCTGACGCTGGCATCAAAACCTGTTGGAGAAATATTTCCCTCAGACTGGAGATCTTGCAGCTCCCCTGCCACACTGTCCACCTCTATTGTGCTATCTGTTTCACTTTTGATGCTTCGTATCTCCTCTTGATTTGGTGGCAGCGTCTCAGAGACAGTGACACTGGATTGATGTCTACTGGACTCTGTAACAGTTACAGAGGAAGGTGACTCAGGAGTTGTAGGAGGAGTATTTAGCACTGAATTGCTGCCGCTGCTTGGAAATTCAACTTTCTTCTCACCCACTTCAGTTGGTTTCTCCTCAACAGGTTTAACATCCACACTTGCTGGCAAAGATTTTTCAAGTTCACAGTTAGGCAAAGAAATACCTTCTTCTGCAAGAGTCTGAAGCTGCTCYTCTGCTGCACCATCCTCAGGAGCAGCGTGTGGAGGAGAGGCAGCAGCCTCAGTATCAGAGTCTGAGAACAACTCCTTCAGCGTTTTCTTCGGCCACTGTCCTTGGATACTTGACCACACATCTTTTCGATCCTTYGCTCTGGTGTTCTGAAGTCTTTCATCAGAGTTATTTAGAAGCTTTATTCTTTTCTCTCCCACTTCAGAAAATCCCGAGTAGAAAGTACTTGTCCGTAAAGATTTCCTTTTCTCCTCTAGTCCATTGTACTTTTTTGTTGGAGTGATTTTCAGTTTAGATTTGTCTTCCTCATCTTCATCCGAGGAGCTGTTACTGCTGTTTTCTAAACTAAGGGAGTCTTTGTTTTTGGATCTCTCATCCTTTCTATTGGGTGACACGGTCTTTAAGGACTCCTCTGCAACACAGTGTCTTCTTTTACCACGTTTCACTTGTGGTTTTGCTGTTTTATCCACCATCTCCTTTTTTACATCCTTTCTCTTCTTTGTGGCTTCATCTTCTCCATCCGAGCCACTGTCTTCAGATAACTCTTCCATCTCTTTTCGCAATCTTTCAGGAGACTTGGATACTGACTTGGGCACTACTGCATCTGTAAGAGCTTTAGTTTCTTCTGGGAGGGATGAACCACTCTGTTCTTTTAGACAGAGGTCATTTTTATCTTGGCTTACGGCTTCAGGCTGACATTCCTCTTTGCCATCAGCATGTACATTCGGGGCACTTTGGTCATCTTCTTGCTCACTATCATCAGAACTTTCAGAAGCTAATTAAAAATAAATCCAAACAAAACAAAAACAAAACAAGAAAAGTTTGTCTTGATTCTGGTTATAAAGAATTATTTTTAAAAAAAAAACAAAAAACAAAAAAGCCCAACTAAAGAAAACTGCGCAGATACGAAGACATGCTACAGGGAGCTCTAGCAGTATCTCTCTTAAATGGTACCTCCTGAAGAGTTCAAAAACTTATGGTATAATGGCTAGAAACTGGGAAGACTCTCTGTTATACAGTACATCTCCAGCAATTTCTGAAGAGGTAGAGAAAGCACAGAGCGCATTAATCCATAAAATACAAACTTCTGCATAATTACCCAAACCAGAAACTGAAATATATGTATTTTTATGTATTTTTAATGGATTACAAGTACTATCGTTATCTGCCTTTTTTCCAAAGCCCATAACACAGACATCATTTTCCCTGGAAAATCCAGAGTCTGAAGGACAACAACACACACATTGCATACTCTCTAACAAACCAACCTGATGATCAGCCTGAAAAAAGGAAATGAGAGCAATAATGAAAGGCACTTAGGGAAACACATGGACAAGAACACTGGAGGACAACTGCAAGAAAATTCAGGGTCAGCAATAAAGAAACTGAGAAAAGAACAAAGATATATAATCCAGAAGGAATCAACACCAATTGCATTGAGTGGGGAAAGATATGGATTCAAGGAGAAACACAGTAACTGGCTCAAACATACATATATATATAAATAAAAGTATATATGTAACTCCTTGATTTGTAAAGTTAATTACAGATTAATTATGGCACTAATGATAGTGTCATTACTAATTGCTTTTTTTTGTTTCTCATTTCCTAAGGAAATGAGGCTTCATAGATTATGTTGATTGTTATTCTACCTACAGTTTTGGAACCCAGTGGCCGGTGTCATCCAAGTTCAAGAAAGTCTGAATGATTATTAGATTCACACAGCTTCCAGAAAAGTTTGTGGTTACCCAAACTACCTATACCATACATGACTCCTTTATCTGGAAGCATGCTCTAAACTAAGAATGAAGAKAAGCAATTAGGTATTAAAATGCTGCTGTAGGGAAAGGGAAAACAGTGCTAGTCACAACAGACATACAGATATGAATAATGGGTCCTATAGGTTAGATAAATCAAAAGTAAAAAATTTAGAGACTAGATATGTCTATATCGAACAAAAAAAAAGATGGTAACACAAAGTGTAATTAACTGTCAATACACTGAATTCACAGAAACTGCCAACAGTGCTTTCGTCCAAGGGTTATTTCTGAAGCTGGTGTTATAATTAGCCAGACTCAAGCATTTAGTTGCATCAGTTGTTCTACASTGTTATTTACTCCCGTTCAAAGGCCATTTACACAATTAGAAAAAGCTTTTAAGTACAATACCTTGTAGCCCATTAATGATAGAAGTAATTTCTATTGATTTAACTGCAGCTTGTTCAGTATTTTTGGCTTCACTGCTGTCAAGTTTGGACCCAGTCTCTGGTGATGTGCTGGTGTGAAAAGGGGGTTTTGACAAACGTCGCAATTTACAGGGTTTAGGAGAATACTTCTCTTCTTTCTCTCTGTCAGTTTTATTCTAGGTGAAAAAAGGATGAAAATCTCATTTGAGAACATCTTATCATAGATTACAATTACACAATGCTTACAGTTATCTTAAACATTCAGCCTGCAGAGGAAAGCTCTCCTCTTTGTTTATAGGACTACAAAGACCTTTCCACACCCCATGCCAAGACCTTTTTACTGAAGGCAGACAAGATTTACCAATACTAAAACAAATGGGAAAACAAACACAGGCAGTGCTCTAGGAGTAGTGGCATCACAGGATGCCARGCTCAGCAGTGGCAGAAGGAAAAGCTTCTTTGCAGCCCACTGTCCAAGGAATGGTCATCATCTAAGCCTAAGTATCAATTGTGGAAGAATCAATTCTGAAAGAAATGCTTGGCAACCAAAATAGTAGAATCCCATGCACATGGACTAGTCCATAGGGTTTGCTCTGCACTGTCAGGGAGCCCCCAAATTTCACCCCCCAAGCTGGTTCCCAGCATTGACAGTAATATGGATCTTTCTCATTTGTTTTCTGTAAATGCATGCATACATTTAATTAAAAAATTTAGGACAGAAGGAAAGAAAAGCTTCACCTCCTTACCTCACAGAGAAAACCCAAAACCAGGATGAAAAGAGTATCCCTGTTTAAAAAGCTACAGAGTTGCTTTTCCTGACAAGCATTCCCGCCAATCAAAAGGTCAGGAAGGGAGCCATGGATTACTTAACTATGYATCAAACCAAAGTAGGGGGCAACAAAGGAGAAAAGGGAGAAAAACATACCTTTATTTTCTTTCGATGCTTAATTTTTGGTACATTTTTATCAGCTGGTCTCACTATCTTGTCTGCCTTTATCCATTCATCATACCTAAACACAAAAAGAAATTGTACACATTTATGGTTTTAAGCAGATAATCATATCACAAGAGAAATTTAACTGAGGAAAAAGAGAATTAATAGCCATATAAAAACAGAACAGGAATTTGAATTAACTAATTTGTGTAATTCTGAAGTCTATGAAGTTTCAGCTACAGTTTGAGGGACTAAAGTTTTTTTACACTGAAGGGTAAAATCTTCTATTTTCCAGTCTGCACAGAACAGCAGAAATCCCCATATGCAGGTAAAACAAGCTACTTGAATGAGAAATCTGTACAGACCTCTAAGGTATACTTCCTATTTACACACTGCAAAACCTTAACAATAAAATAAGTTCTTTCAACTACATAAAATGTGACCAGTTAATAAACTCTTTTCACAAAGTGCCATGTGGAGTGACTAATCTTTCAGTCACCAACTTTGACTCACTGACTTCACAGTGACACTTCTCAATTTCTTTTCTGTTAAAGGTTTCCATTTTGTATTGGAGTGATACAAGACCAAAATGTATTACATAGAGTCAAGGTACTAACAACAGGCATCTTGTTACTCAAGACTGGATGCATTATATACAAATCCAAGACCAAAGATGAACATTTTTAGTAAGAATATACTATAACTACGGTACTGCACTTGCCAAATTCTTTAAATCAATTATTTTTCTTCCCAATGAGCTGCTTTACTACTTAAACCGTAAATTCAAGAACCATCTGCATAAGAAACAGTTCAGTTAAAAAATAGTTTGTATTAACTTTGGCCTGAATGTAGATTCAAAAAAATTCTGATCCTCCCAGGTAAACATGAAAATAGTGTGGAAGAAACCAACCTTAAAAAGAACTCCACCACTAAAAACCAGAAAACCCAAACCACACTCACCAAGAAAACTGGTATAAGATGGAGTTGAGCTCAATGACCACACTGCCTTTCCAGCTAGATTTAATTGATCACCATTTTGATATACGCAATGACTACTGACACAGACCCAATTCAGCTTCTTTGCAGCCACTGCCAATTATATCCACAATATTGACACATAAATTAAAAATATTTAGGGAACAACATGCAAGTTTCCAACTTGCTTTCCTATGTGTTGTAAGTTATGATCTACACAAGGAATTTCAGGAGCCAAATATTGTATTACATATCACATAATTTCAGAAGCCAAATATTGTATTACACATCACATAAAAATACAGTAAAAAATGAAGTAGCAGCAGTCTGAAAAATAGATTTCCAAACCAAATTGTTCTGTTTTTCTCCCCTCCAAGTGACAATAAAAATCACAAAAATCTCACAGCAGACCATGCAGATTAAGTTACACCAAGACTGTCTATACTGCTGCAGATACCACTGTCATTGTACTGTTACAGTCATTACCAAGTGAAATGTCTGTAAATGGGTTCAACACTGAAATACAACTCTGCAGAGTACATACAGAGCTCAGTATGGGAAAAATTCTGTATTCTGTGAGACTGTGGGAAACCCTATTTGAAGCAATCTTTTTCCAAGACAAAGACATGTTTTGCACAAGGAATACCATGWAATGACTGCCAAATGGACTTTGTGACCCACAGAAATATAGGCGTATTTTATTAGATCYAAATGCATGCAGGAAAACAGCACTAGGACCTGACAAACACATGGTGAAAAGCAATGATTCTGACAGTGTCCCTTCTGCCTCAACCACATTGCTGGAATGCAAAGTTTGTATCTTCTCATTCTTATGCATCTCCAGTAAGAAAATAATCTTCCTCCTATGCAAAGTCTGTGCACAGCCCACACCGTCTGGCAGTGCCTGCTGGGGCAGGAACTGATAGACATGGGGGCACATTGAAGCAAGGAGAAAAGTGCAGAATCTGAAGAGAATACCTCTACATAMCACAGTGTCTTAACATTATGTATTAGAAGCAATGGTCACACAAGCCCTTATCTCAAGGAGTACAACTGAAACACTCATGTGTAACAGTCACAGCTCCTGGCCAGTGTGTCCTGCTTTACTCCTGACTGCACCCAGAAGAGCAGAGAGACTCTGTGAGGACGCCACAGAAATCTCACATCTTCTCCATTGAATCAACTGCCCACACTTCACACCTTTGCATCACACAGCTCCTTTCATTACTCACACATTGGATCCATATGGTTTGCCTAAATCTGGGACAACTGGACCCCAGCCTGAAAGAGATTCTGCAAAAAGGATAAATTCCAAGATGCAGTCGACAACCTGACCCTATATTACCTTCTCCTCCACTGCAAGACAGAAGCACCCTAAAAGCTGCATCTAAATGGGTGTGTGACTCAGACTAGAGCCTCTTTCTAGAACTGCACCTGCTAACATATGAAAACTTACTTCATCATTAATCTTGCTTTAGACAGTCTGGTTGCAAAACAAAATAAACCCAAAAACATTATCAAAGTTCTTCAGCTCTCTTTACAAGAAGCATGTACTTTCAGAGGACCTGGGCTGTTTTACTACAGTGCTGTCTTTAACATTTACTCACTTCACTGCTCTGAAGTGAGCAGATGAGTGTGCAGAGGAAGGAGGTAATATGGGGAGCTGTTCCTAACAAACTTTACACAGATTTCTTTGAAATTCTAGAGGAGGGATACAATAAGAAATCATTATTTAMTTATTTTCAAAATCAGGTTTCATATGAAAACACGGAATGCTTTCATAAAGAAAATCCCCATGCCATATCAAAACTAAGATAAAGAGCCAGCAAGGAGAGAAGCTTTTCTGCCCTACTTGTTAAAATGAATGGCTGACAGAAAGGAGAGTTTGAACAGGAGAGAAAAAAAAATCTAAAATTAAATTTAATAGCTACATAGCAGAAAAAATAACTGGCATGTTGCATCAGCATGCACTAATGCTATTATATCCATATGCACAACTTGAAGCTAAAAAGCACAATACTCAGAGATTGCAGTTACCTTCCACATAAGTACTAGAGGGGAAACAAGGAAGAAAGTGTACTTTTCTAGATTTATACTAGCAAAGGGACCACTTTCTCAGGAGGACAAGTGACCTCAAGGAGCTAGCACGCCTTGGCAACTTCACTGAAAAGTTCCAGTATACTATCAGTAGCTGCTAAAAAGGGAGAATCAAATATATTTTTGGCTGTGATCAAAGAAAGGAAAAAAATTAGTCTGATACACAAAWATTGCAATACTAGATGAGAATTCTACAAGAAATTGTTTAATTTCTTTTTTGTTTTCTAAATAATCCCTCCCCTGTCCCCATGACATACATTACTCTTCAGGACCCAAAATTTTGCTACATGTTTAATTTCAGTGGTCGACTATTTATAAAATTTATATATGAAGTAACGTTTCAACGAACTGAGACTGAAATCAGCACTTTCACATACAGATCCTGAAGAAGTGTTGAAAGTAATAAATACTAGCTTTAAACATTTGAAACATCCAAGAATAACATGTCCCGTCATAGTGTACCGTAACGACACACAGAGTTTCAGCAATGTAAATGCTTTTCAAATATGCACCCTCTAATTACTGGGAACACACTGCAGAAGAAATTCACCTCAAACACTTACACAATGAGCCTTTCTCTGCACTRGCAGGCTGAAGATTAAAACTACATCAGAAGGAATTAGCACTGTAGGTCCCAAAGAAGYTTTAGTTACATATAAAACATACTTAATCCAGAACATTACTGGTCTGTTAGAAGAAATACAGTTCCTCTGTATTTCACTGCTTTTTCTGGTTAAAACGTGGCAACATAAGCAGGTCCCTCTAATAGGGTAGAGATTACTACCATTCCCTTGTACCACAAGTCAGGCTCCACTGAACACTGTGATTCAGAGACCTTTGTCACAGACATACACTACCTGAATCTCAGGAGCTAGCAACAAGATCTTTTATTATAATGCTGCACAGCTTCTGCACTTTCTATTTTACTCCTTTTAAAAAGAAAAAAAGTTCCACAGTTTTTAGTGTCACTGGTTCCAGAATATTTWAAAAAAGACAACTAATGAAGATAAGTATTGTTACCAAACTTCATTCCAAGCACCCCAAAGCATGTGAATACACTGCTCCATCCCCCCCCCACACAGGTATTCTGAATTCCAGACTGATACTGAAATTAACTTGTGATAATTAACATTAGCAGTTATTTAGGATTTCTGTTCAAACTTATGAGACTTCTTTAAAGAACAGGTGATTAAATGGCATACTGACCAAAAGGGGAAACTTCAGCATCAAGGAGGAGGAGAATGACAGAATTTTAAAAACCCTGGATGATTAGAAAGTCCTAACTCAGTACAACCCCTGTACAGTATGCACAGTACTTGTCCCTGCTAAGTAAGCTAAGGAGAGGAGGGAATTGCTTCCTATACAACTAAGGAAGTTTCTTTTCCAGGTTGTCACTGACTAAAAGCCAAATCAAGCTATTGCAGAATACAAGACTAGTCTTCRCAATACTAAACGACCCAAGTGTTTAGATGCTGGCTTAAGATGAGGCACACATACTCTTCCTGTCAAATCCAAAAATTTAAATAATTTCACGTGAATGAAAAAGAATTAGCCACACTTAGCAGAGTCAACACACAGTCCCACAGTTCAATCTCAATCACTCATGTATTTTTCAGTGAAGAATCYTACTCCCCCAAACCTATTCAGAGGGCACTTTTAAAACATCAGGTAAAAATATAAACCCATGTCCTGATGCCAGAAGGACAAAACAACCAACACTTATTACTTCTCAAATGAGTGCAAGTTAACTAAAAATGCTTTTATTAGCAAACATATCCTAGTCACAGAAATAATACCTCTGACATCAATCTGCAGATTTGTTTAAATTGSAGAGTTAAAAATTTAGAATCTTGATTTCTCCTTTAAGAACTGGGGTGCTACTGAGACCTCCAAGGTGAAGAAGACTCATTTTTAACTTCTCATTTCTTCACTTCTTTGAAGTGGTACTGCTCACATAAAAAATCTGATCATCTCACCTCATAGCACATATAATTTGCTCAAAAAGAAAAGTAACTTCTATGCTTACAAATCCAAAAACATGAATTTTAAAGCAAGAAACCTCTTGGAACAGTACACACAGTTATCTTCAATGAGTAGGATGGAAGTTTCAGCAACTTGCACTCCCCTAAGGGAGTCCTCCCCAATAAGGACCAGGCCAAAACTCAAGTCACACCCCAGCTCCCACCTTCAGCAGGCTGCATCTCCCCTCGCATCTTGACTTCACAGCCCGCTATGCTTACAGATGTTGCATGAAGACAGTTCATGTCAGATCCTATTCCTGTAGATCAACGTAGATGTAGATCAAAATTCTACAGAAGACTGGTATCAAAACAGGCAAGAGCGAGACTCCTCCTCGGCAGTAGCTCAGGTGCACCTGGAAATCACCAGGCCTCGATGCAAAGAGGTGAATTCAAGGGAGGAAGAGAAGCATCACACTTCTCTGTYACCTTTGCTAGTAGATCTTACTAGAACTGAATAAATGACATTTTTCCTGCTCTCTTGGTCACAGGCAGGATGCCCAGATGACAGATGAAGGTCACAAGAGCCTCAGCTTTTCCAGAAAAGGAAAAGTAAGTAAAGAAAAACATACATCAGATTTGTCTCAGACTTGTGGGAGTTTTTTTTACATTTGTTTCAGAGACAGTAATCAAGTTATAAAGATAGTAGTTTAGGACAATGAGTTATGTTGAAATCGAGGAAAGCAGCAGACATGCTTTAAGCTGCTAAAAATTTTAGTTCTCTCTACTGTTTTCAAGGTTGCTTCAGGTTTTAAATGGAAAAAAGAGGTCTGAAATAGTAATAGAAATATTTTATTTATTTCTATTAATGCTAGACTACAGATAATGAAAAGTATATGCTCCTCCTTATATTAAAGAAAGCATAAGAAGCCACTAGGCTAAGACGCGTCTTGTTTGGAAGTTTAAGGCAGCCTCAGGGTGAAGTGGGGTAGGGAGTGTAGATACCAGAACTGATGAAATGCAATTATTTGCTGCGCACTTATTTGCCATTAAGAATCTTGTTGTTTTCCAGTTAAACACCACACTGCTGGTGTACTCTGTGCTTCACTGACAAGAGTGAGTTCACAGCTGAATGCACTACTCAAATACTGTATGAGAGAATATTGGCTTAAGACAGCCAGAGGAGGAACCTGAAAAGAGTGAGCTGTCACTTGTATGGCAAGATCTAAAAGTAAGATGGGGAACAAATGAAGCCTTCTTTGAACAAGTAATTTTAAGATGATTTTCAAAGTAACTAAAGCCCTGCATTTATATAGTGTTAAATATCTAAGTTTCATACAGTACAATGACCTTCACAGAACATCAATACTGAAAGTTTAGGACTCCAGATGTCTATAAATTTAGTTTTTAAAATTCATAAGTGTATTTGAGAAGTAATTCAAGAAGTAATCACTAACTAAAACTCAAGTTACCTCACGTTCCATCCACAGTAGTGCACCAAGTAAAGGACTTCTCCACCTTCGATGTCAGAATCTTTAATACTAGCTTCATACATTTTTTGATTTTTCCCTCTTCCATACCGCACTTGGACTTTCATGCCTGGTGGATAGCATTCAAACTCTTCTTCCTCATTGTTATTGTTGTCTTCTTCCTCCCCCTCCTCCTCCTCTGCTTCTTCTTCATCTTCATCTTCTTCCTTATTCGTGTCATCTCTTGAAAGGTTTAAAAAATTGTAGAGTTAATATGAGATACTTCATAAGCTTTTCAGTTCCAAACCACATATATTGATAAATATTGTGGATGCATTAGAGACTGGGAAACAGGAGGCTCCAAATATGTGAAACTGTACTACAGCTGAGTAATATCAGCAAAATAGGATATAGCAACACACACAAAATCCAGTGACTGTAAGGTGCAAAAATGACTAAAAGAAAAAAAAAATCCTTCAAATTCTGTATGAGCAGAAGTTGTTCAAACTCATCTTTGTATGATTCTTGCATGCAGTCTCTTTGTTTAAATATAACTTTTTCACTTAAAATTAATTCTTTCAATACAGAGAAAATTTCCTAAATTCCATTTTTCAACCTACAAGTTTTACAAATGCTTCCAGAAACTTGCTTCTCAAAAAAAAATTCTTGTTTTATTGCAATAAATAAACTCTGTCTCAACAGCTTGAAATTACTTCAGCTATTACCATATTTTGGACAAAAAAGTTCCRAACAACTTATGTGTCTGTATCAGCAAATTAAACAACCTGTGCTAATTTATGACCTCATCATCCTTGCCAATTACACTGAAAGTATCCTAAATATGTCAAACTTGCAYTTAATTACTATATAAATACACAAGCAGGTGTTCATCGATTTCAGAAGCTAATTTTGAACACATCTTCAGATATTTGGACCAATTTTCAGAAACAGTAAGAGCCCACAAATCTTGCTAGATTCAGTCAATGGGTGGCTCAGTTATCTGAAAATTATCTACAATCAGCTTAAAGAGGGAAGACTACATTACAGAAGTTAATTATGGAAAGTAGGAGGAAAGTAGGAGGAAAGTATCTTTTAATCTTAATTAGTCTTATAAAGCAGTATTATTTGCCCTCATATCATTCTAATTCCACACTCTGTGCAACACAGAACAGATTTAGTTGCTGACKAAATTCACAACAACTGCAGACCACTAACAATCCAAAAACCTGATACATGGAACAGGTATTTGGGTGCCTGCATAAGAGAAGGTAAATACTGCTCTAACTCTCATTCACACCAATATTTAACCTCACAAACACAGAAGTCTATATTAATAATCTAAATCTTTCCACAACATTTTCAGCAGAAAATTCTCAGATAAACCAAGTTACTTGCCCTCTGCAAAAGGATGCTTCTTTGCAGAAGTAAAACTGCAGTGTTATTATCTAATTAGCTGGTGAAAGATAATTCATAGCAAAATGCTAAATTCAACTGTAGTATAACCACACTAATTTAATAAAATTACTTAAGAARTGAATGTTAGAACATGTATATATATGCACACACATACATGCTCATACAYAGTGAGACAAAGGCTAAAAAAATCCCTCTTTGGTATATATGGCATAGGCCATACAGTTTAATTCTAGAAGGCCAAGATTTTCAATTTATATATATACATATGTGTATTTCTTGTGCTTCCAAGAGATATATATATATACTAGAGAGATATATGTATTATTACAAAATTTACTTCCCTAGGAAATCACAAAGAAAGATAAAAATTTCCTGAATAGAATTCCACAGCTAACAACAAAAAGCATCAACCAGTAAWTTAAATGATTTTTAGTTATACTCTCTGCTGCACTAAATAAAAACTTCTGGCTAATTTCAGCTTAGCAGGTATTATCATTAAAAAGCTAAAAAAAATTGTGATCAGAAGCAGAGCCACCACTGCTCTGAGAGCAAGATGAGCTTGTGATTTTCCATTAATAAGTACACTTCAAAATCGCAGTGAACCAGGTTTTGCCTGKTTTTTTTCTCTCCAAGATCTAGGGGCACAATCCTCAAATGCTGTCTGCAAAGTCAAGTACATCTATGACAGAGATTCAAGATTTTCCAGACACTGGCAATTATGGTGCCAGTGGCTCTTCAAAAGCTGAACAAACTTGGAGTGTCTCTSATCTTAATCACCCTGTGTCTTTCTTGGAGTCCCAACAGACATCCTACAAAGACTCCATGACAACAGCAGAAATTGGTACCCTCTGAAAAAGATGCATGAAGCCCTCATTGTGAAGTTGAGTAACTTGGATGGTCAAGGAGATGTGAGCAGTAGACTGTACATAGGTGGAGGCATGTCACAGGCATGTCAGGAAGCAAAAGCAAAATGGAAGCAGAGATGGCTGCAAGTAAAAAGTGTTCCAAGGAGTAACTTGGTTAGCAATCATAAGCTAGAGATTTTAGGAAACCAAACAAAAGCAAAGAATGTTCATCATTTTGGAGCGAAAGAAAACCCCAACACACTCATACAGCTCCTGCAAAAAAAAAAAGGCCAACCAACCCAAAAAACCAACAATAAAGCCCCAACACAAATCCCAAGAACATACACCAACGGCTGTAAGGAAGATACTGTCATAAATAGTCCAAACCTGGCAGTGCAGACAAAGGAGAAGCCACAACTAGCACAAAACCAGAGGTTTTTTAAGAGGAAATTGTGATTGTAGGCATCCGGTATTCATAGTTAYAACCTCATTAGTCCATATATGTATGCATGAGACCACTGGATTTCCTTCAATACTTTTGATTTTAATCAAAATCCCATTTGGGGGAGGGCATGAGGGAAAAGGGAAAAAATAGGGGGAAAAAAAAAAGAAACCAAAAAAACCTCTTGGCGGCAGACAGCAATTGTCAACTTAAAACCAATATCTACCACAAAGCTGCAAGTATTTGAACAACCCAAGCAGCACCTGATGAAACAAAGCAGCAGCAGATGTGCATACACAACTTACAGGAGACACAACAATACAAGTGTAACTGATCCAGAATCCAAAGTAGCACCAGAAAGGTTATCAGGACTCAAAAGCATTTCAAATGACAGCCACAGACTAAAAAGAATACCCCCCACCCCATCTCACAAAAATGGGGAACATAAACCTTCAGAAGCAAGAAATGAATGAATTAAAATGCAGAACTATTTGTTAATGAAGTAAAACGGTTAAAATGTTTAGATCATACAAATATGGCTTATCATTAGTTCCAAAGGACGTTGCAAAATCCTCAAAAGGCTAAAGTACACACACAGGAGGTCATTCTCAGTCAATAAAAAGATTGAACAACAACAACCCATAACTGAGAGTATTAACAACCAGATGTAGTTAATAGATGAAAAACTGCTGCTCTTACATTACTCAAGAAAATGTGGCCACATGCAAACTTTTTACAACCCACACTCTCTGTCACTGTAACAAAGCCCAGGTGAAACCTATGAGACCCAGTGTGGTTTGGAACATTGTATTTGCCTCCTACGATCCCTGTTTTGCAGCAAAACTAACCCTACTCCAAATACACTTCCACTGACACACCAAACTGGTACGCACAGCAGGTGAGATGGCATATGCAAGATTATTTTTTCAGGATTTATTCTAAAATTTGAGGAAGCAAGATTATTTCAATTATTGGTTCAATTAAGTTATTACAGTTAATTGAACTGCTAGCAGAAATAAACTTTAGTGTAATTGACACTTCAAGTTTAGCAATTAGCTTCTATTTTTGTTTCCTGCTTATTTTTTAACTTTTTCTCATCCTAAAGCATAATTTAACCTTTACTTCTCATAACATAGAGCTGAAATATGTTCAATTTCTCTTCATATTCTCAGTCAGATGTATTAAGGTAACTTCAAGTTTTAAGGCAGAGAGGTTATTAAGACCTTTACTTATGCCATGACAACGGAACCTCATCTTTAATGATACAAAATAACAAACCCTCCCAAAAATCACCACTATTTGTCCTGGTTTTGGCTGAGATGGAGCTTGTTTCTCCTTGGTAGCAAGCACCCTGCTCTGTTTTGGATGCACCAGGGTAGGGGGAAAGTGAACTAGTGATTGCATGGTACATAGCTGCTAGCTGGGTATGACCACACCTCTGAAGCTACAAAGGAAATCTGAAAATAAAAGCCCAAAGGACTTCTGTCTGCACACAGAAAAAGGGAATACATGTAGTTAGGATCCTTTGTCCCAAGGGAAGAGGAAGGCACTAACTGCATTTGACTCACATCTGAGCGTACTACAGTACAATTCAATCATGCAAAGAGGTACTCTGTAACCAGTGTATTCCTCTGCTGCTACAGAGGAGGTGAGAMGACCTCAACGCTTCTCATCATTCAGCCACATATTTTTGAAACCTTCCTCAAAATTATAATGGGTGGCCCTAAAGCATGACTGAAGAATACAGCCCTTCCTATTTTCAGCACTGGCTCATATTCAGCTTACAAGCATCCAGTATTTGATGAACGTTTAAGGACTCTTCCACACACGTAAATCTCAGTGACAGCTACCATGGATAATAACTTGCACAGTGACCACATACCATGTAGAAAGCAGAACCACTTTTCTCAAATCAAAGATGTCTCCCTTCCATTCAATACATAGAGTCAATACATTTACATTGCAACTTTACACTTAATTATTGTGTCATTTGCAGCTCATTGCTGTATCAAAAGCAATCATTACATGTAAGTATGTATCAGTCTGTATTCTATATTAAGAAAAAAAATCTATTAGACTGTTTCTGAAAACATGACTATACAAAAACTTCCTTCCTAATACAGCTGAAATACATAAAAAGAAAACACATCACAAATAAGAGCACAGAAATATGTTACCATAAATAAAACTACTCTGTATGGTTCTCATAAGCTTTTTGTTTGCGTACACACCAACAATCTAAGATTCTGAGCATATGTTCACACTACACATGTACTGAACACGACATATTGTTCTCCCTTTTCCCAAGGTAATCAATTCCACATATATCTGAATCAGACTGGAGAAAGCTCCCAATAAATAGTCCTCACCTAACACAGAAGCTAAAAGATAGACCTTTCATATCAAATCTTCACTCCAAAAGATTCTAACTTTCTTGCTACCATTTTAGATGCACCACGGCAAAGCTCTGATGTGTCATTTTAACAAATAAGGAACTGAAGAAAACATTGCCTCTAACAATGTCTTTCTACCATACGTGGAATGGAGCTTCTGACTAATATGTAATGCCATTGTATATTTCTTTCAGAAAATCCCTTATAGAGGTTTCCAGAAAATTTAACTTGTACAAAAAGTTTCACCAGCAGCACAGGCACAGCAGGTAGTCCTCTCACCCTTCAAGGGCAAACCTTAGTAAAATACTTCACATGAAACAATGACCATTTTGACTTAGGTCCCCATTACTGATTTTGTTATTCCTAGTTCCCTCCTACTGCTTGTAGGAGGGGAAAAGCTGTTACTGCATGAAAGGTGCATGTAAATGCTCTAAGATTAAGATTTTTTTCCTTGCATGTGAATGAGTGGCTGATAGTCTTGCAGGGAATTAAATCGAAGAGTAAATGTTTAGCATTTTCACCTTGTGATTTTGGCAAAACATGAAGTACCAGCTGCCAGAAAACCAAACCAAAAAGACCCAAACCATCAATATCTGATCACCAGAAGTGTTTAGTTTACTAAAGCATTCTTCAGAAACATTTGTTCATGCATTCCTTGGAGGAAATAAAAAAAAGCAGACAGTTTTCAAGAAGAAAAAACTAATAAATTCAAAAAGTTTCACAAGGCCAAAGAAGGACTTGTGAAAATGACGGTCTGATGAGCAAGAACAAGGTAAGATCCAGAGATGGCAGTCCTTCCTGGTGTTAGGGTGAAGGTAGCACCTCAGCCACAAGAAGGAAAATACAAGAACAAAACTCTCTTGCAATGTCTATGTACTGTMACTTAACAGAATTTTGCCTGGGCATCTCAAAAATCCAAATACAACCCATACACAAGTCTGATGCCAATTTTTGTTGAGAAGCAAAAATTACCCAGATTCTCAGCATTTAATCTTTAATTTCATTASAAAGTTCTCGATGGTGGTCTATTCCAGGTTCTTTGGGGCAAAGTTTAAAAACCAGAATAAAACACAAAACCAACAAAAAAAAATTCTTAATGAAAACTCCAACAAAGAAATTCTGAGTTGAATTAACTATCTAGGGAAAAAAAAATTCTTACTAATGTTGGTTAGATAGCAATTAACCTACACTTCAGTTTCCAAACTGTACACTGCATCTACTATGGAATTTTTAAAGACTTAGCTTTCATTTTATTAGCTTGTACTAAAAAACGCACACCTTCTAGAATCTCCACTAGGTTCCTGGCCTTGATCTCTTTGGAACATATTCAATTGTCTACATTGTTTATTGTGTAGAAAAACACCTCGGTTCTCAATTTGTTGACTTCGACTCAGCAGTCTAGTTAAAACAGTTAATATTAGATACTACAAAGGAAAAGGCACACCAGTTATGCAACATTACATTTGAAGATCATTACTTCCACAACATGAAGTTTGTAGGAACTTCAGAAAAAGGACTAAACTTCCTTGTTTATTCATTGGCCAAGTATGAGAACTTTTTTATGTGTTATGGAAAAGGACAATTTAGAAAGTCAGTTTTGTAAAGGACCCTCTGGGACAGACCCATGAAAATTAATACATTATTGGCTTTTTTAAAACTTGTTTTTAATGACCATAAGTTGCACAAYCTGTATCTAGCACAGGTATCTTCCACTAGCCATGGAAAAAAAAGGAAAACTAAAGCAAAAAGCAAACAAGAAAAGCACTAATAGAATAAAGGGCAAGGTCCCTTTGAACCTCTGCTCTCAGTGTTCACAGATACACAAGCAGGCAAGAAACTGTAACTATAGAGAAGAAAGGAAGACAAAGTTGAGCCTTTCTTCCTCTYCATCATATTGTTAAAGACTGTGTAGATGGTACCACACAATTCAAGTGGTAGCAATCTCAAAGGGTTGAGACACRTGGGATTGCACAGAGAAACAAAACCTGTAGAAAATAAACAACCGGGGCTTCCAGAAGTATTTCCTGAGATCTGGAAGCTGAGAGTTACATCCAATCGTCCCAAAAGAAAGTCAGCAAGAAACCCGAAAGTTTTTCTATCCTCATAGACATCCTTGTGTCTGTAGACAAATAAAAGTCCTACAGACATAAATGCAAATAGAAAACCCTAAGAGTTTGCATTTAATTTCTTTAGCTATTTTGTTAGGACTGTGAAAGACTGATGGTCCATAACTTAAAAGTTCCAGGAAGGCACTTTAAATACAACAAATAATAAAATTTCAGTCTAAATTTCACACTGATCTAATTTTATTACATTTCAGKTATTGGTGTGTGTGTGTGTGGTTAGTTTTCAACCTACAAAAATGCCTGTTTTCATTTTGCATTTCCATTCAACAAAGAACTCCAACCACAGCATTTCCACCTTTGTGTAAGTTCTGCCACTTCTGATCCATGAAGTTGGGTATAGGGAAGTAGAACATCTAATACAATGCCCCACAAAATTCCTTTATGACTTTATAGCATAAATGCTAGAAATATTTTTTTAGCATTTAGGATGACAGTGACGTTTTTAAAAGCTCTTTAAAGCTGATACAAGTGTATTTTGTACCTCCTATCAATCTCAGAGGGTAGAAGGGAAAAGAAATCAYGCTAACAGTGCTACTACAGTGCCACTGCTTACTTACAGTACCGCTTAAATACTTACAATTACCTGCTATAAAAATTCCATTTTCATAATATGAATTGTTCTTTGAAACACAGCATACCTCCCAGCAATGACCACACCACCACCTACACCTCTTTTTAGAGTCATGCTTTCTATTCKAAGCAATTCATTACAGTGTCCCATGAATCATAATAGCAAGATACTAGTCAGAAGTTTTCTACTGGGATGARTAAGGAGGAGCAGAGGGAAAAGAATTCACGCAATTACTATCAGATGAATTGGGAAAAGATAAGAGGAAGTAAGTGTTTTCTACAGATTTCTGTTGCTCTTATAAATAAAAAGCTAGGAAAACTCATACATTTTTTGATGCCATAAATAATGCAAATTGACATGAATCAAGATTGAAAACACCCAAAGTTAAAAAAAAGAAAAGTAAAGAATTATTGAAAAGCAAATGCAGCTTCTGTTTTTTTTATGTACCATTTACAACAGTAGCATGGTAAGCATTAAGCCACCATACTTTTCATTATATAAATAAATACAAAGTAACATCACAAATATACACACATACAAATACACAACTTAGGGAACTTTAAAAACTGCTATTCTCTAAGCATTGCAAAGTTTTCCATTAATTTAGTTCTATATTTTGAAAGCAGCATTGTAAAATCAGTCTTTAAAAACTCTGAAAATCTTGCAATCTYGTGATAATACAACTTATCTAATTCATCTTAAAAACAGCAAATGCAACAAAGTCCAGCAGTTAGTCTTTTAAAAAAAGACAAGTTTACACAGGATACAAATAAAATCACATCCATAGAGAAAAGGCTCTTTAACTGAGTTCAGGTAAATTTGATTTCTCTRTATTCTGCATTTCTGAGTTACAGAAATTGCCAATGAAATTCCCACTGAAAATACTCAGGAGGACAAAAACATTATACAAAAAGATCATTCCAGAATCCACTAAAAAAATCAAAATCCTTAGTGAAATTAAAAAAAAAAAACTACAACCAATGAATCAGAAATCAATATTTTAAACTCCGACATTTTGGCCACAACTTTTAATGGGCCAGAAACAGCATTAAGAGCTAGTGATTTTTMGACAGAAGATCAAGACAGCTGATCTACTAAACAATACAACTGCTGGAATGAACAAGGGGATTACTGGTCAGGCAACAGATGGTATTAACTACAAAAAAAAACAAAACCCAACACATCCATGATATACAGATTGCTGTGAAAGTATAAGGATGTGCCAGTAACTGYTTTCCCTCTTGTAACAGCTTCTCCCTTAAGCACCTGTTACTGGGCTTTAGTGAAGACAAATAGAGGTCAGATAGAAGATCTCTWTTAATACTGTAAGGGAAATATTTGTGTTCTTAACAGTTGAAATCATACTGTAGGAGGATTCTAATTGAAAGAATACAGATTGTTAACATACTGGGGATTAATGAGATCCATATTTTGGCTGTATTTTTTTGTGTGTATGACTTCTGAAAAACACTTGTGAGATTTTCCTGCACTGAAACAGGAAAACCTGCCCACTCTATAAAGCAAGTTATTTGCACACATTAATTGATTAGGTAGCCCTGAGCATCTCTGTTATTTCAATCTCCTACTTTCAAAACACCTCTCTGAAGGCCTGCACAAGAGACTCCTGCCAGTACCAGGCCTACTCAACAGCAAAGCTGTTAACTGAGCGATGCAAGGTACTTCCATCTTTTCCCCTATTACACACCACTGTCCAACAGCAAAAGCTGGAAGCCACAAGTCTGCCATATATTTGTACCAAAATCAAGTAGAAAAATACTACAGGCAATGACTGCAATATTTTTGTATTAAATCAATTAAATTTTATACTTTCCATTCTCACTCAGCTTATATTTAGGCCTGGAACCCTTAAAACTTAAGCTGCCTTTTCCTTTGAAAATAGATCAATGAACTTCAATGATCKAACTACGACAAAGTTAAAAACACATCAGCCCCCAGAAGATACAAGTCTAATTAACAATAGCATGTCTGATTTGAAGTTCAAATTACAGGAGTAAAATTTAAAAAAAATCGCATTGTATGTCTTATCTGATTAGAAACAGCATAACTTACCCTGATTTTTCTTTTTCTTCAGCATCTGCATTTACTGTAGGATTTTCCATTTCTTTAATCTTCTCCTCCTCTTTATCTTCCAATTTGGTTTCATCTTCAGTTTTGATTACATTTAAGTCCTTTTCTTGATCAGGCTGAGTAAACACAGAATCTGGCAAATTTTTTTTGTTTCCCTAGGATAACAAAACCTTTGGTTAACTCACAAGATGAAAACAAAGCATTTAAGAAAAGGCAGACAAAACACACTGAAGTTACAAGACACTGAAGAGCAAAACAACGCTACCGTGTGGGGGGGTTGTCCTAAAATTACAACACCTCTGCTGTTTTTCCTTTTGAAAATCTTCAGCTAAACATAGCAGAGGTCAAAGTTGCCACCAGTCCCCTAGCTTGTTTTATCACAATGATATAGGCATGCCCTCTTAGACCTGGACTGCAAAGCAATTCCCATATGAGCACTTCACAAAGCATGTTTTCATTTGGGATGTAACGATACCAGTACTGGCCCATGAAGCATTCCTCCCAGAGAATACCAGCAAACAGACCAGGGCTGGCTGCCACTTATATGGAGAAGCATTACAGTTGTGTTGCACACTGGCTCAAGAGCYACACTGCTTCCACAGCAAACTGCAAGGCCTGCACACTGCAGCACATCACTTAGTGCCCTGAATATCCTTTGCTGAAGCCACTGAGTCAAYACTGGATTTGAAAAGCTATAAACATTTGTCTCTCTGGACCACTAAACTACATTAGATCATGTGTACATCATATGGCCCAGGCCTTTGTTGAACTTCACTGGTTTCACTGGAATACAGAAGTAAAAGCAGTATTTATGAGAGCTTAAAAGCACAGCTCAGTGCATAWTAAAAGTATCAGCAATACAGTTAGTTAGCTGTGAGCATGCATTACCCAGATAAAGTGGACACTAAGTAGTCTCTATTTGACCCAGGAATCCCCCAAACAAGTGGCATGTTGGAGCTGCTTTCGAGCAAGTCAGACATTTTGACATCATGAGCCTCTAAAACAGGCACCTAGGTAAATATAGCTCAAATGCCTCAAATGTTCTGAATTAGTTTTTGTCTTATTTTAAATCCATCATAGAAATTTCAATCTTTACATTAATTCATGGTCATTAACACACCAACTGACTTTATAAGCAAGATACAACATGAACTTTTAAATATATTACCAGAGCAGAGGGCTTATCATTTTCTTTACTTTCATGATCCTTCTCAGCTAACTTTTTTTCTTCTTGTTGTACTACTGCTACTTCTTCCTGCTTGCGCTCATCCTTGTCCACTTTAATCTCTTTTGCATCCTGCTCTGGCTCTTCACGCATCTTCAGTTCTTTTACTTTTTCGCAGTCTTTACAAGGCTTGTTCGTCACCTTCTCTGGCAATGCCATTTGAAATTCAATGTTAGCTGATGTACAATACTCTTCAAAACCATAGAGATATCTAAAAAAAACAATTGTTTGTGAAAAGCAAGTTTGACTCAAGAAGGAACATGCCACCTAGAGAAGCTAAACACAGACAGTAGGTTTAAAGCCTAAAAAACTGTATTATAACCAAAGAGTTATGAATTTTATGTATATTACCAGTAACACAGGATCACTTCAGTTCATTGTATTTTAGCATAAACTTTATAGCTTTATTACTTACTTCCTGTATGCACATTTAACATTATATCCTGCAGCTGAATTTAATACAGGGATTCCAAGATCTTGATAAACTTGCTTCCACACTGCTCCACTTTCAATCTGTTAAAGACAATGAAGTCATTGTTTTTGAATTAACTCACTGACAAAAAAAACTAAATTGACAAAGTTTACAGCTTCAGAAAATAAATGTATGTAATTTCCTCTGATCTATAAAATTACTATTTATCACACACACAGTATTTCACTGTAATGTGAGCTGTAGTCTAATGTAATTACTTTAGGCAATTTAGCATTTCTGCAATGCAACAAGCCACAGCAGGTTTTCCTCTCCAGGTGGCAATAAAACAAAGGAAAAAAAATAWAACCATCAGAAAAATCAGTACATCATTTTTATTTCTATTTTAYGTTTAAAGTAATTCTTAACTATCAGAGCTAGAATTTTAATTAAATTGGAAACAAAGAAATAATTCAAAGCATTAACAATACTCAACCCTGGCAGTCTTGCACCAGACATAGTGCCTACCAGTTTTTCCTTACATCCTTAATATGCCTTTGGTGACAAAGTTCCATGAAGTGCTCATTTCTAATTATCTGTGAAGGTAAAGCAGACGTACTGCAATACCCAAGTACCGCATCCTGTCCTGTATATCAGAAAGGTGTCGCTGCACAAACACACGTCCTCAGCTGACAGGCGACATTCATGGGAAGCAGTTTAAAGCACTAACAGAATCTGCTCGGCCATGAATTCCATACATTTCAATTACTCCTCCCAAGACCAGTTTCACATCAGACCTTAAACCAGATTCTTGTCTTTGAGATTTACTGAGCAGTGATTCCTTTCACTTAGCGATAACCACCATATCAGACAAGCATTTCTTGAAATATTACAAAAACACACATACTGGCTGATTTTATGCATCAATAATTAACAATGCTGAGTAGATGTGTAATTCATTTAGCATATAACTAGTTTCCGGCTCATGTTAACACATAGTTATCAGAGCTACAAGGTGTCTTACACAGCCACCGTAGAAGTAAAAGACTTCCATTCATCTAAAGGTCCTGTGTCCATTATCACTATTTCACAGAGTAATAAATTATTTCACAATAATAAACAGCATCCTCAGATTTTATGGCTCTGGAGTACTCATCATACTAATACTCACATTATCAAATCCTCCAAGCTTGTGTACAAGTCTGAACAATTTGAAAAGATTCAAATTTCTGTATCCTAATACAGGCCGTTTGTTAATAGGAGTTCCTGGGTATCAAAAAACAGTTGTTAGGGTGTTTTGAAATATTTTTTTCAGAATAACATGAAATTCACATCATMTGCACTACAACATTATTAAACACAATATTGTAAACCCCACCTCCCGCACCTGGTACTCTGTCTTCATAAAACTAAAACTCAAGAGTCTTACTGAACCAGAGGGAAAATGGGTTATGTTATTTAATGCATATATGTATACATTCTTCCATACATTACTGAAGATGCAGAAATAAGGCAAATTTTCTTGCTAACTACATTATACGTGTTTTTATTTCACCCACTGAAACAATTCCATCTAAAAGTATAAGGACAGTCCTTTCACTCCAATCAAAAAAAAAAAAAATAACCCAAAAATAACCCAATCTTCACCAGGAACAATCCCACAATGCTTCAAGAGCTGAAACTTCCTATTCTACTGTACTAGCAGTAGCTATTACACTACCATCTCTTGCAAATAGTTTAACTCATTTCACATGGCACAAAAAAGATACTAATATAACAAGTTACAATAGCAATTGAAACACAAATACGATCACCCTTGCATCTACAGGCACTGTACTTTTATTGCAGCATATAAAAACCTGGCAAAGATTTAACATAATGAATGGTGCTGGCTTTTAAAAACATTTCAATCTAAGGACAATGTTCATGCATTTAAGTGATCAGAATTCACACATGAAAATTAGCATAAAGTAAACATATTTTTCCAGCACCTAAAAGCTGTGTGTTTTTTTATTTTAAAGTTATTAAACTGAGAATGCAAATAATTATGATGCAGAATATTAAATATTTGACTATACACATTATAAGTACACAATAGAAAATATAGTAGGAAACAGGATATCTATTTAGATATATTCATTTATTTCTGAAAGCAGAAGTATGGGGCTGTATTTTAGGAGATGAGTCAAGTGACAGACTCATCTAAATAGTAGGGAGGTCAGAAGGGATGAGTACCCTTTCTCTGGTTCCAAAACTRTACTGCAAAGCACTACTAGTTTGTAGATTCAATTTTTCAAAGTACTGCAAATTCAAATGCCTACCTCTGTCTTCCATGAACTTGTACAATTGCTGAAGAAAGTTCTCTCGTTCTTCAGGAAACGGCTCTATTTCCTCCTGTTTAAAGCAATGCATGCAAGAAAACTGTCACTATTTTGATTTACAGTCCTTCATTGGAAACATAAGGCAGTGATAATCTGTTTAAATGGTTAAGTTTGTTTTACTGTAGTCAGCAAAAGGATACCATACAGAGAGATACATGCTCTCACTGCTATGCCACATGAAACYAAGTTTTATAAGCTACAGTGTTTAAAAATATATAAAACATTGACTGTAAACATACATTGAAATTGGATTTTTGATTAATCACTGAAGTATCATAATGGGTACCATAAATCAAGAGTGTTCTCAATTTCATCCATTTATGCAGAAAGTCTGGGAGACAGTTCTATTAATGACCAAGAGATTATAACTGAAATCTGAGCTCTATTTCTACTGCAGTTAAGTGACTCCTTGATTCCTGGATACACTAGGTCACTTTCAAAGATGAAGWCAAAGAGAGTATGTTGCTTGCCCTTTTCTTAGGAGTTCTAATCCACTGCACTGGCAAACTGCAGCCAATGGCACTGCATGCAAACTGCCATGGGGTACCAGCTGAACACATGMTGAGCAGGATCAATCCCAGAACTGAAATAACAATGGATATTTTGGAAGTTCAGTTCATTGCACTAATAAAATTTTGTATTAGATTTACTTAGATTAATGATCAGTGGAGTTTCATAACAAAGCATTATGGCTTACTTTACAACACCTCATAATTTCCTTAGGAAATGGGGCTTGYCACAACTAGTAGTAATAAGATATTACCATAATCAAATTCTGAAGAAATTCTGATGACTGAACTACTGCAAAACAGTACACCACAAATGAGTTGGTTAATTTTTAATACTACCTGTAAAGTTCCAAAAAGAGTCAAACAGTAATCTAAACTAAATTATTTTTCTTTAGTGTATTTTCATACCATGTTTATCATTTCCATTCTTCAAAAGTCTCCTTGTACTAAATACTAAAGCTTCACCTATTCTGAAGCAAGGGGGCAAAACATACTCTCTTTAAAGTTATACTAAGACAGTTGAGAAAACAACAGAAACAGAGTATCATTACTAAACAGAACTGGGAAAGACAAACACACACAAAGAAAAACAACCCTCCAACATCTATTGAATCTAAGAAAGAGAAGGACAGCTGAAAAAAAGATCAGGAGAGGTTGTAACTATTATCAGGGAGTAGGTTTTTTTCTTATTCTACACTTCCTTTCACCCATTAAATGCACTTGGATGACATCAGAGCAAACAGGCAAAAAAATTAAGGAGCAGYATTCACAATATGCTGAAATAGTTGCCCTTCAGATATAATCATCAACAGAAATGCAATGAAATTATTCCAGTCTTGCAAAGGCAATGCAAGAGGAAAACTCTGCAAGGGGCGTTACATGATGGGCATTTATACCCAGTGTACCAGCATAGGATGGGCACGAAGGACAGAATGGGTAGAGAACTGTAACCCATATACTAGAGATCCTTCTCACAGCACAGGGGCACCAGAAATCAGGCACATCTAGCACAATTCTTCACTGAAAGCTAYAAGGTGATACTGCAGCCCTTCATATAGTACAGACAAAAGCCTGGTTAAGAAAATTCACATTCTGCAGGCCATGGAGAACGAATTACTTGAGTGGAATAAAACTCCAAAACTGTAAAACTTYATGTTTTATTTTAATCTCCCATAAAAGATGCTTGGAAAGGACTTTTACCAGCATCTGCTAGATCATGGTATGGAGATCACAAGCAGCTACTTGAGTTTCTCATGTTCCTCATCAACAAGAAAAAGCTTGCCATAAAACATTAGTCCCACAGAGCATTTATGGGAGGGATGAGGGGTGCCACTGAACAAAACCCTCAGGAAACCAAATAAAGTTCTGAAGAAKGAATATATTCTTTTTAAATACAGGGGGAGAGAAGGCAAAGGTGATGAAGAGGCTGAATAAAACACTCCTTTCTCACTATACAGCCTGAAGGGTACTCTTACATCTCTAATGTGATAATTCACAGAGGTGAATGAATTTACCATTACAGAATGGTAAGTGAATGATTACTCCTTATTAATTTTTCCAACATAGAACAAACTAACTTTCTAAGAAAGTGTGATACCAGGGAAAGCTTAAGACCATGCATGCCACTGAAAAGCATTTACACTTTCTGAGAAACTCTACAGAGTATTTATTATACTTTACTAACAGTATCTGTTAATAATCTTCAAACACATACAGAATCTCCTATGTTAAGGAGGCTTCCTAGCTAATGGTTTGATGCAAGCATGTCACATTCACACTGTCACATTTGCTTATTTTCAAGTTAGACAAGCAGATGTTCGCAGGTCACTCTGCAGTCTCTAATGTATCTGTCTACGCTAAAAAGTAAAGTAAAGTGGCTTCTACATAGGATAACSAAGTATAGGAAAACAGCAACATGTTTTTTGCAACACAAAATTCATACAGTGTTAGAGCACAGCACTAGAAGAGAGTGTCTTTGACAATTCTTTTACCTACCATCAGATTTTGTAAAGGAAAGGAAGGCCATTTTCCAGTCTCTTTTATTAGGRAAAAAATACTCTTCTTAGAAGTACAGAGGATTTGCATGCCAACTCCTATCTATATAGGATGGAAGCATGTATATGGACACAAGATATAGAAGAGCATCTTTGTATCTACAGAAGTGGATGTGAACATATATATAGGAGAGAAGTATCTATTTTTGAAGCCTGTGGTGACACTTTCAAAAGCTTAGGTTTTCTGTTTTGTTCTGTTTTACAAGTAGCAGAACCACATGGATGATCTCCACCATGGAGAAGGGCCACCAGTGAGAACTTCTCACGTCCTGGGAAGCAGTAGAACAACCTGCAGGTGGATAACAAAGTACCAAGAGCAGGCCCATAGGTCCTGTTTGAGAAGAGAGGCTGCTTGATAACCAAGAGGTTATAGGCACAAAAAAAAAAAAAAAAAAAAAAAAAAAAAAAAAAAGAGAAGAAGCTGCAGAAACTGCTCATGTATGAGTGGAGAGAAGACACACATGCCACTGACCACGAAGGAGAGAGAAGAAAAATGAGAAGGGGAAAAAAAAAAAAGCAAAAGCATTTTGCCTCTGTTTTAGAAACTTCTTTGTTCAACAAGTGACTGAAATCACTGTTTACTGGAAAAGACATTATCACAAGAGATGATACAGTAAATTCCAAAATATTTGTCTGAGATGAAATCTTTACGTCTAGCACATGGAAAGACTAGCTCAAACAGCATCACATGCAACTAAGAGGAGCTCAAGAGGTGCCCAAAGAGTACAAGGTCAAATGTTTACAAATGCTGTTGCTAAAGGCTTTGTCTTTTTCCCCTAAAAGTAGCGCAGGAATGATCACTATATAAAGATTATAATCATCATTCTGCATAGACACAAACCTATCTACATGTATCATGTTCATAGCTGGACATGAACCTCCTGTGAAAGTTCAGAAATTTGAGCCCAAGGAACTATTCCCTGCTTCTCAAAATACTAACTAAGCAGAGCACAGCCCCTTGCAAACTTTTGATCAGAGCTGGATCTTCTTCTGTGAGCTTAAAGAGGAGGAAAAAAGAAATTAGAAGCATGGAGAGGCAGCAAAGTCATAATTTTACACTTTGCAATATCCCAACACATCTTAAGGAAATGAATGACTACAGAAGAAACACTATCCTCTGGTATGCCAGAGCCAAATTATCCAGGGAGGATGTACTGAAGAGAAGAGCCCCAGCAACCATTTAAGAAGCAAACCAGTTTAGTTTCTTTTTTACAATTCCACTACTAACAGGAAATCAAGTCTGTTCCATTACTGGCACTTGCTTAACAAATGAAGAGAACAGCTCGCAAACCCTGATGAGAGAAAAAGTGATTATGGGCAGATGCAGATTTAGAGTAACACATGAAGGTACAGAGAAATAAAAGGTTCAAAAGCCTCTCTTTCAGCCTCTCAGCCAGCTGTGAAATAAGAGAACATTCCACTATTTTTCTCCTTTTCTTGTCTTCACTTTTCTGGACAGGAGGCTGGGAGGAAAGAGCAGATAATCAAAAAACCAAGTATGAGGTGGGGATTCCATAGCTGCAGAACAAAAAAGAGGAAGAAAGGTGGAAGTGGAGTGTATGGGCTAAAGCCTTGATTGAAAGTTGTTTTCCTTCCTTACATCAGGGTAGCCAGGGAGACAGCTTGTAGTAAAGCAATTCTTCAGCAGACCAGGATAAGAGAAAGGTATTTCGTAATGCCTGTGTTAACGGTGTTGCCTATGTTAACATGGTCAATGTCCCCTAATGTTAAAAAGGCCTACTTAAATATATATGGCCCTGCTAATTTTTATCAGCTGTATATTTATGTTCTTTACTTAAAGTTCACTTGCCTCTTCCTCACTGCTGTTATCCTCTTTTTCTTTTTCATCCTCTTCCTCTTCTTCAGCTTCACTGCTGGAGCTGTCTTCTTTCAATTCTGTTTTCCAGTTACTAGGAACAGTTCTGTTTTTACGGAATTCAAGTGCTTGGTCAAAAGCTGTAGAAGAACCAGCCTTTGTTAACACTGCAGAAAGTAACAGTTTGAACAAATATTTCAATTTAAAAAACAGTAATCAGGGATGATGGAGAAGGGGAGAAGAAGGAAAGACTGCTGATTTACAATTCCACCCCAAATTCAAAGAACCTCAACAACCACTATGTGCTGTCCATCCCTCTTTGTCTTACAGTCTAACTGGCCAAGAGTTCCCTACACATCAAGCCACTCAGAACTATTACTAGTGTTTTCACCATGTTTTCACCATGTTAGTGTCTACAGGCAAATGAGGATCTTCTGCATAGGGCATGTATGAAAACTTTATGGAGAAAACCCCTATCCAACAGGTTTACACTGCAGTTCATATATATCAAACAGGGAGGGCAAGGGTGAAGAAATAAATCACAAGCTAATTCTAAGAGTTTCATCACACAAGCTTGAACTTTCAAATGCACCCACAATTCCAGATTTTCAAAGTCCATAAAGGCAACTTACTTTAAACTATTAGGGGCACTATGGTGAGAGTAATTCTATARAGGCCTAAAGCAAAAGGAAAAATACTAAAACAATGTGTAAAACCAATGTGTACTGTATGATTACACCCTTTGTTGGGCATATCTACGCTTCAAGTAAGAGCAGAGCAGGTTGGATGTTGTTTTTAGGSGGGTTTATTTACTTGGGTTTTACTTGTCTAAAAAAGAAGTTCCTCTAACTTTTCGGAAGTGTTCTCCTTCAATACATTATTCTGTAAGACAAGAGCCTATATTTTAGCATTTTTAAGATATGAATCAATCTGCCATAGATTTAGTCCAATTCATCTAACTATGCAAATAAATACAAGTGTTTCTAACAGAAAGTTATTTTTACCTTGTTTTAACAAAGTGTCAGGCTTTGGTGAAGTTTCACTGATTTCCCGGACATCTTTTCTTGGCACAGAAACACTAGATAATTTAAAAAGTATTAAAAAAAAAATATTTTAAAGGTAAACTAACAGTACAATACAAAGCTACCACTAGAATTATAACACACTTACTAAACATACATCAAAAGCATATGAAGTGTATTTTGACAATTCTATAGTGTTAGTTTGGTACAGTATTACCATACTTAATCAGTGGATTAAACCCAAAGCTTTTACATTAAATTGGCTAGACCAACTATATCCATTCATTGCATACTGAAGAAAGCATGCTCCTTCCACAAACAGGTAGTTTCTGCAATCTCCCATATATGTAATACTTTAAACCCTCACATTAATTTAACACTAATTTAGAACTCTACCTTGCTTAAAACATAAATATTAGTGTAAATTGTCAGTAGGAAATGAAAAGACTTCCAAATTGAAAGAACAAAGCACTTTGTGATTTCTACCRTGTCTATAACCAAGGAGGCAAATATGAACTACAGCTCTGGAGGACTGGAGTGTCTGTGCATGTGTGAAAACATCTTATGTGTGTTCCTTCGGTGATGTGCACTGATGCTTGAAAAACTATCAAATGGCAAAGCGATAGCCTAGACTTAGAAAGAAATTCAACCACACCAGAACTGTTAAATATTTCAACATCCTTCCTGCAAAACATTCTGTTAAATTGAACCAAGCAYAACAAATATCTGCAACTTTAAAAATAAAAACTAAAATCTAGAGATACAATTCTATTGTTGTGAGCTTAAGAACAAAGTTCTTTATTTTGTTGCAAATAYCACACAGTCTGGTTTCCTATGTTTCTCTATCCTTTTTCCTACTTTGAGTAGCATTTGAATAGCATTGAGTAGATCTTTGCAGGGAACACTGAAGATGCAGTTGCAGTCTAGACTGAGATAAACATACGCCTTGCTACCTTCAAACAAGAAAGGATTTCTGTGCATGCACGTGGTGTACGTGCAGGCATGCACACATCCCCACCGACCCTTCTGTAGCTGGATAAGCTTACAGACACATCCCTGAAAAGCAGTGCTTTACTCCAACCACAGCAGGAAAGAGWTTCAGGCCATTCTTAAAGTCACATGATACAGCTGTGTTTTCCACAATTTTAACAATGGAATTAAAACTAAGACAGATAGATTTATGCATCCCATTATTAATAATGACAAAGTTCAAGAATAATCTCATTGCAATGTGGGCTRTTAAGTTTTTTAAACATTAGAAAAATCTTGGCAGGAACTTACTAAGCTTACTGATGTTATTAATATTTCACCTAACGCATYGCATACCACATTTCACTTGATTGGTATAAATTTTTTTTCAATTATCAATCTCTACATTCCTACTCACAATTTGCCATCCTTGAATGAGCGAACAAGAATATTGTCTTTTTTCACTGCAATATCATCACTACAATCTGGACAAACCACCTGCAAAGATATTATAAATGCAAAGTTTAGAGAGAAAAGTGAAAAACAAGACAGAAATAGTATATTACTTCTCTGAAAGTTTTTGTGCTCATTTCTCTTGGGCAACCCTGAGAYGAGAGCAACTGAGATCCCTCAAAACACAGGAGTGATGACTTCCTGAAATTACTGAATGCATGAGGTCATGCTCACTTCCTAGAGGGAAACTGATGGCTGCTGCCAGAAACGTGTAAGTAAGAATAGCGTTGTGACAACAGATAAGTACCTGTCATGCCTCACCAGCTTATTCTACTCCTCATCCTAAAAGGACAGAAATTCCACCAAGTGCTGCCTGCCACCTGAGTTAGAGACTACTTTTGGAAACTTCTAGAAATGCCAAGGGTGTAATCACACACAGTGTTAAAAGTTAACAGGATATATGAAATGCCATTTAAGACTTGTAAGTGATCTGCCTAGGAGGGAAGAGCACCTCAAGTACAAATATTATGATGGGTTCTTTAACTCAAGAAGTAGACTAATCAAGCCTAGCACCGAAACAACGTATTAATTATTTGTTGCATTTTTAAAGGCTATTTAAGTTTTGTTAAACCAGTCTACAAGTCACTAATCATAAAGCTTCAGGAATTTATAAAAATATAAATATACATACACACTGAATTGCCAGAAATATAAAACAARGAAGTAACCCTCTCAATCACTCATCTCTCATCTCATAATGTGTATAGATGCCAGAAAGTTATGAAACTTCTGGCTGCTACAAAACCGTAAGAAGCAGCAAATGACTGTAGCCTTAATATAGCCCAGGGAAATACCTCTTCTCTCTTATAGTTACTGTTGCCTTTCAGTCCTAATTTTCCACCAAATACAAAGGTACTGCATGGCAAAAGCTTGTTTTTTCTCCCTCTCCTTAAGTCACCAGCCATACAGCATTTTAGAATCTCAAGTCAAAAGTGCCAAGTGATTTGGAAACAGAGTTACATATCACAAAGCATAGGCTAAATATGTTTCTCAAGACAAAATTTAACAGACCRAGCTTCAAAATTCAATGCATTCTACAGTCTACAAAGAAATTACTCCAGGAAACTACAACTTTCTAACTGAAATGAAGCTTGACATATAGTTTGCAATGTCAAGGTAAAATAATATGATTATCATCCTCTACTTTAAACTGACAAGTGTAAACTCCTAGCTCCTTAAAGCTGGAGAAAGGCCCTTCAGGCTTTAGCTACTGGTTTTCTAGAAGCATCAAGATCTGAGTAGTCAGAAATCTATTCAGAGGTATGAAAACAGCTTACCACAACCTCATCTAGTGCCTTTACATCAAGCAACATCACCTCAATTTTGTCTGAATCAGGTTTTCTCAATTTCCTTGCAAAACCAACTCCACTGGAGTCATAGGAGAATGAAAGAGATGATCCTATGTAAACTCAATTTTCTGAAAATGCTGCAGGCAGATTTCCTCCCTGCAACTTTCAAAAGCCTTTAAGTCCACGTTAAAACTAAGGATTGCTCTAAGGCTTACTAAATCACTCTTTGACAAAAGGAGAAACTGTCAGACCCTTTTACAATTACAATTAGTCACTGCACTCACCCCCTCCCCACAGAATCAAGGCAAACAAGCAAAGAAACAAACAAAAAACTCCACCAACCCAAACATGCATGCAGGATTARGACAATGTAGTCAATCACTGAGTCTTCAGAATAATTTTTACCRAATTTAGACCTCTAAAGTTTTTAATTTGTAAGTGATAAGCTACTTGATTATAGGCCTGATATCCAAAGTTCTCAGTTTCCACTACTAATCTTAATTTTTTACTTGCTGTAAAGGTTTAGACTAAGCCCTGGACTTGTTTTCACATAATAAACTTGCACAATGTCCTCTGTGTATCTGTGCATAATATCATTAATAAGAAATCATGCTGTGATACACATTCTTCAGGACATTAAACCTGAATTTTCATTTCATTATTCATGTAATTACAATTAACATAACACAAAATTAATGCAAAATTTATCAGTAATAAGGTAAGATTACTTTGTTGATACTGTAGAGGTAACCTGCTTACAAGGCAGAAAGGCCAAGGAGCATAACTACTGGGGAGGGGATTATAAGAAAGAAAACCAAACCAAACAAGGCAGCTATTTGAGGCATAAATCCATTCTTTGGCACAGCTTTTCTGTGATGTTTATTTGCAAAGCTATAAACCTGATTACCAAAGTAAGGGTTGATCTAGGATAAGCTATTTCAGAGTTAACAAGCTTCACCCTCAAACTTTATCCCTCTACTGCTTTTYATTTGTTGCAGGAAGCTTTCCATGAAAGACAAGCTATTCCAATCTTCAAAAGAAAGCCAATGAAATTATTGTGTATCTTTAGTATATCTTTGGAGCAGAAAAAACAATTCAGCTGCTCTTAAGGTCTGACACAAAGCCCCCCCTGAGCAGTGCTACATGTGTCACAATTCAGCCCAACCCCTCTCAGAGAGTATGCCACAGAAACTGGTATGCCACCTACACGACCAGAAAGGAAAACCCAGAAGTGTGACATAAAACTGCTCAAGACAGTTTCACTGACCACTTCTTTGAGTGAACTGTGAGACAGCTGATATTGACAGATATTGCATCATCTTGACGGCAGCTTTCAGCAAAGACACATCTCAATTTTTCTTGTTTATCACTGAAAACATCTCTTAAAGCTATATCAACAGATATATCCTTATCCTATAATTAAGGCTATAATTATATCCTTGCTGTACATTCTGCCCTCTCCCTTGTTGTAAAAGAGACTTCAGTGACTCCTTCTCTTCTACACTTCCCCAAAAGAATTCCTGCTGGAAAGCTGCTGAACTGCATTATAAGATACAGCAGGTAATAAGCAGAAAGCTGCAACTGAGAGCTACTGCACACACTAAGAGTTAAATGCTACTGTATGGCATCTTTTCAAAAGCAGAGTACAAGTCTTCCTAAAATCAGATAAATTTGTTAAGCTTTCATTGCCAGGGAGAAATGAGTCTTTAATTCTTTAATAAGAATTAAGTATTTACAATTWAAAATAAAATAACTATAAAAAAGCATGGTACTAAAAGATACCACATACAGAAATACATTAATTTCCAAATATATCAGTCAGTGAGTCTACATACAATCACTAGACTAGTTGTGGTATTTTTTTCAGAAGTTTATTTCTTAAAGAGTATCTTTAAGCCAGAATAAAGAAAGAGAAAAAACCTGCTACTGAATGGCTACAATGTAATTTTAAAGTAAATTTACTGCCAATTTTMCACTACCTGCTGTAGTGACCAAGAAAAAAACACGAAATTTTATTATGAAAATTTATTATGCAATGCCTTTATAATGAATGTTGAAAAATCATGTCTATGTAATCATTAAACTTCCCCTCTCTTTGTACTTTATGTTTCCTTCCTTGATCAAACTCAGCAATTAGGAAAATTGACATGCAATAGCCTAGGAAAAAAGCCCGGAAATTTTAGACCGAGAGTACTAAACACACTGCTGAGCTAGAATTAGGTCAATAAGCTCTGGCTGTTTGGAAAAACAAAGGCCATGTTAGCAATCAATTTTTTTAAACAAATGTATCTAGATATATTTCCTTTGACTATTATGGCACAGTCCGATTTGAAAAAAAAMCATATTAAGTTCTAATAAAAAATACCAAAAAGGAAAAAAAGACCACATCTTCCTTTGGTGGCTAGAAAATTATAGAAGCTGTACTAGATAACAATAAAGATTMAATTCTTACCAAGGCTGGAAACCACAGAGCTTTCTTTTTATCCACACTGAAGCAGTCCACGCATACAACTTTTCCTAATAACTCATCACTTTGTTTCCTATCATCTTCATCTTCATCGCTGGAAGAGGATGAAGATTCTTCTTCAGGACTAAACAACAGAAAGAGACTTAAAACTCAACTATTCAAAATTTGCTTATTATAATTACAGGACACCCAAAGCTAATTGTCAAAGCATCATAAACAATAGTSACTTGAATTGTCTGTTGCGTGTTTTGGCATAAAAATGAATAAAGTATTTATAATTATATTACAGTAACAATTCAAACATTACAAACTCAGAAATTCACATTAGTAGTAATACATGCAAAACTCAAAAAAAAAGCCACCATTCATTCAAATGAAGGAAGAGCAATGTACTGTCAGCGTATTCAAAGTGAAATCATTCTGCCCTACAGAAACACTGTTCAAAAATACTTTTGCGGTTGTAGTTCTGGACCAGTGTTAAGCTACTTTTAGTTTTCCCTCTTAATCTCTCCATGATTTTACTTTAACAATCACATAGAATGGAAAGCTATTTTGAGAAAGGACAAATCTCTGAAGAAGAATCATCAGATACAAAGATGAATAGCAAAGAGAAAAAGAAGTCTATTTATCCTTAAACAGTTCTTGAAAGATGTGCAATGAAGCATTCCTAMGACTATTTCAATTTCACACTGAAGTGTTGGAATGTAAGTAGATGGGCCAAGRTGCAAATACCTTTTCCTTTAAAAGGGCTCTGGCTCATTGTTTTTTTGACTGTTCAAGTACAAAGCTGCACCTCGTATTAACCATATGGGGAGTCCAAATGTATAAAACTACCCCAACTAAAAYTACTTACAACTGATTGCCAAAAAAAAATTTAAAAATCAGTATTCCTGATGTTCTCTCTATATGTATCTTTTTCAAATAGTCACTTCAAAGTTTAATTCTCAGAAAGTAAACAGYATTTTCAATGAGCACAACCAGCATTATTTTAAAAGCTATCCTCCATCAGTCACATAATTGCCTGGAGTACAAAATTCAATATTAAAAAACTCAGTTACCATTTATGTAACAGAAGACAACTGATGTACAGTCTAAGAAAAAACTCCGTTTCCCCACCTTAATTCTATGTTATTTCTATTGATGATAATTGTTTTGGATTAGCACTGATTTGGTTTAGTTCCTTTCCTCAACTTTTCTGGGTTTTTTTAAGTAATAACTTCTTTAAAAGATATAAAAGTCTTCCTGGCTGCTTTCCAGGGTTCAAGAATCTCTCGTGGGAAGAGAAAAATGTCGAAGACTAAAGAGAAAGCCAGTACTGTTTTGGAGAGACTACTTTCTAACTCAAATTGCACAGATACTGGCATAACTGGCTTTTAACTCCGTTAATTCAGTTTTAATCATGAGATAAAGGTAAGTGTGTTGCTTCTGACATAATAATGTCCTGTTCAACCCAGTCAGAGACACCAAGGATGTACCATCACATTCTCTGTGGTAATGCCAGCTTTKCTCAGCTTTTTCCTTCACTACCTTGCAAATTAGTAACTCAATAACTATCTTAGCAAATTTATAGCTCCTCTACATATACAGGGCAACATTTATTTCAAGCTACCAAAAAGTGCAAAAGATAGGCAACCAAAACATGAAAACCACTACACCTACAAATTTTAAGCRAACAGGCAAAACACCCCACACAAACCCAAACATACACACAAAAACCTCACAACCCACACACAAACAACAAAGAATAGGTATTGGATTACTTAACACTGCTTTATTAAGACCACAGCTACCAAGAATTTTGGCACCTAGGAAATCAAGATGCTACTCTTGAACTTTGTTTTTGTATCAATAAGCTTTGTTGCAAACTATACGAAAAGCAGTGGAAAGAAAGTGTTGCACAGGAAGTTCCACCTGGATATGAGGAAGAACTTCTTCATTGAGCAGGTGACCAAGTGACCACACACTGGAACAGATGTCCAGAGAAGTGTGGAATCTCCCTCACAGGAGATGTTCAAGAACCACCTGGCCCCAGTCCTGTGCCACATGCTCTAGGAAGAMGCTGCTTGAGCAGGCAGGTGGGACCAGATGATGTCCTATAGTCCCTTCCAACCTGACCCATTCTGTAATTCTGTTATTCTGTTCATCTATTTCTAAAAGACATTCAGAGACCCTTTACTGTGAAACCAAAAGTCTACAGGAGGATTCTGGGACGTGTCTACTGGACAAAGACTGCATTGTAGAGATTTTAGCTTGAGTCCAACACATTTACAACACTAGAGAGATGTTTCCCAATATAATATCACATTTCCACTTGGGATGCCACTTTTTTTTTCATTTTCTTTTTTTAGGTGTTTATTTTTCTTTTTCCCCCCACTTAATAAAACCAAGAAAAAGCTCTTGCCTAAGCTGGTACCACTTTAAATATTGATTAAATGAAGACTTGAAATGCTTGCATGCAACAATACACTTGAATCTGACTATCAAACTGAGTACTAAACAACATTTTTTATTCAGCCTCCTGGGGTTTTTTTAGTAAGAGATGCCTGGACATACAAATAATAAAACTCCACACATTCTGAAAGCTTCAGAATTGCATTAACACAGCACAGATATCAAAATATTTAACTTACATATGATTGGATCTCCTTCCTCTGTTTGTTTTCTTTCCTATAACAGGAGTCCCAAAGTGTTCAGGATTGGTGAGTGGAAGCTGATCTAATGTCTGTTGAAATGAAAAAAATATAYATGCATATACGTAAGAAAAACCTGGCATAAGCTGTTATCCAAACCACCTGCTTAACTGAAGTAATTTTTGTCAACAGCGACTTTCTCATTACAAAGGAAATATAGAAGTACATCATTTATATCATGCCTGAGTTTTAAAAAGGAATATGTTTTGTTTTGGGGTTTTTTCAACGTTTTCTCTACACCTCTGAATAATTAACTTTTGTCCAACATACACAGATAATTCTTCCCAGAAGTCCTGCCTTTGGACCATTAAAACACAGAAAAGTCAGTATCAGGTGTTCTACTCACCTTGGATATTCCATCTCTACCAGATTAATTTTCTGCCTGTCCCATTGGTAGACTAAACACTGAATCATCTACTTAAAAATGAGCAAAGGTCCCCTTTGAAATGAAGCTGCAAGATCATTCAGTAGCAGCAAACACAACAACTTCATTGTATTTTTTTTTGGTAATTCATACTTTGATAGGTGAGAGAGACTCTAAAACAATATTAAAGAGGCTGCTATATTGATAATTGGGAGGGTGCTAATSGATGCTGTATCAACATGGAAACAAAGAGAGGGAGAGAAAGAACTTTCCCTCCTCAGAGAGAATGTTTCAACAGAAGGAGTTCATGGACATGCAGTATCTTCTTTCCCTAAGCCTGCTGTTAGCTGTTTAAATGACAACCATTCCAGATTTGAAGGTGCCTGGTACACAATTTTTTTTTTTTTTGTACAGCTTATTACTGTTCTTTGAAAGAAAGCAGAAACCTTCCAAATTACATGTAGTCCTCTGACTTCATTTTCTTAGTAATGTATGAATTTTCAAATGTGTAACATCAACAAGAATCTCAGAAATATTCCGTATTAGAGAGAATTGAGAAAGGGACAATAAAACTGGCTTTTTAGTATTTAAAAATAAAAGTGTGACTACTTCCAACTGTGGTGGACGTCCTTAAAGATTCTACACCACACACTTGGGAAGCAACATCAGAACAAGACAACTGTGAGGCACTGGCCTAATTACAGAAGAAATTTGAGATGCAATTTTCCCTGCTGTGTAGCTGTGCAATCACAAGGTAATTATTAGAGATGTTCAACATGTTTCATTGAGAGCTGGTGACAAAGAACTGAGTATCAGTGACTTCTGGCAAAACATCAAAAGCTTAAATGATAAAAAAAGAAGTAGCCGTCATCTGAATGTAAGGTTTCCTTGAATCTGATGAAGTAATCCAAATTACTCTCATTCAGCCACACAGGTCACAAAAAGATATATATACGTCTAAAACTTTCATCATATGCACCATAAGGTAATACTCCTGAAACCATATTAAAATAGTACTTATGGAACAGAAGAAATCTAATCTTCAATTGTGGTGATCATTAATAACAAAGAGCTAATTGAAGGAATACCACAATCTTTAAAATTACAGTATTTCTATCTGAATCCAGATTTAGGCACCTATTTAGGCTCCCATTTTTACATGTGCTTAATCCTCATTTGAGATTCTAGAAGATATCTGAATGTTAATAAAAATGCAGTATGCAAGCAACAAACTCAGCTRACTACAATAATAACAGCATACTTAAGTAGAGCAAAAAGCCCCATCTTCAGTAGCTGTCCAATAAACAAACATGTTTACACAAATCTGCCCATCTGTCCAGATTGTCTTACATAATATGAAGGAGTAATCCTCGTTCTGAAATTCCAATTATTTGAAATGTGCTACAAATGTTTGCATACTTTGATGTGCAAGTCACCTCTAAGACATGAGCCAGCTTCAAAATACTGGTAGCTGTCATCAAATAAGTAACAGCAACTAATTATTGAGCTTTTTTTAAAAGAGAATTTACCTTTCATCAACTATTATAAATTGGATTTAACCATCCAAAATGCAGCAGAACTTAATTATATGAAAACACGTACAATTGTTTTTTATGTTATAAGTTATATTACTTTTCATGTTATAATCATATTGTAATTTYTTCCTAATACTTACAGATAATTATTTTATAAAATGTGAACTAGTTATGTGATTGCAGGTTTTTCGTGTGACCTACAATCTATCAATTAYCAATAAGATAAAAATGAAAAAGATGAAATGCTGATTTTGTTTCTTAACTTACAGAGTTTGGTGAAATTGAATTGTATTTCTTGATTTTAAAAAAGAGTAAGCCAGAACCTGCAGACTGTACTTTTCATAACCCCCACTTTTAGTAACATGGATACACAAAACATACTAAAAACTGAGGTAATAAAAGTATCACTTTTAAATGTTTCTAAATATGAAGTTGTAATATAAAAACTCTTCAATTACCTCACTTTCAGCAAAATGTCTTTCTCCTTTTAAACACAGGGAAGAGCGTCTCAGAGTCTTCTCATCACCATCATCAAATACTGTCACCAGATAAGAAGAAAGGAAAGAAAACATTTCTTTTAAACTCAGGATATTAATAAGTGATTCATTTATATGACAGAAAGAATGGATGTATACTGCAGCCAACGCTTAGAACAAATCTATGCCTGGATAACTCTGCAGATCCAGTAACGCATTTCACAGACTGACCAAATACATAACCTGCTCTCTCACCATATCTGCTTCATGCTTGTGTATCTTAAAAGGAATCTTGAGTAATCAGTAGTTGAGCCGACAATTCATGGAGTGGGATACAAAATTAAGTTCAACACATTAGCATTCAAAAACTATTCCTCTAACATTTATAATTTTTAAAGAATTTTATTACATAACCAGAACTCCTATGACATTCAAGTCGAAGCTCCGCTTACCATAAGTGGCTATTTATAAAAAAATGCTGCAATTTAATGTAGGGAAGTTTTTTCTCTACTGACTTTATGCAATTACACTATAAAATAACAGTGACATCAGCCTAAGGAAGACGGCAATACTCAAAGTGCTAACAACCATCAAAACCAGCTGTACTGACAGAACTGTGGAGCTGCCATTTTCTAGACATTTGCTATCTCTGCTATCACCAGGTCAACTGGAAATAARTTCACAGAACAGCTCATTCAGCTACATACATCATCCTTTTGAATCCTGAAATGCACTGTGTACATTTAAGGTGGGGTCTTCAGAACCTGATAAACGCGTCATATAGAAAGTAAGCTTTTGTCAAGTCTTCTGGAGGTACTTAACAGACAAAAACTGGGTGACAAAATTTGACTCTTGGGCTTCCCTTCCACTGTTCAATGAGCCAAGAACCCTTGCACTGTTCAATGAGACAAGAATTGATCTCATTTCCCCTCTTGAACCGTGATAATGATTATATTCTTGCTCCCAAACAACAGTGACCTTGAAGACCTTCATGGGCACAGAAACAACCCCAAGATAAGATTAAAATATGGCATTTAAAAAATAGAAGTTTCAGCAACTTCTTAACATGTCTCTTTCACCTTCATTTAAACCTCCTCTTCTGTCCATCAACAGATCAAGGTAACTGTTAGAAGAATGGATGTTGACCAGCAAGATAAGAGAGAACAATTTTAGCCATTTCTTGCTTTCAGATGGAGGTGCTACACTCTTCAACATTTACTAATTTAAATAAAAATATACAAAAAGCAACAAGGTATCTCAAAATTGGTGAGTAGTATTTACTTAATATTAAGAACCTTTCATCTAGTTCCGAGAACTTTTCATACCTATATACAATTCAGTACTGTTAATGAAGAAATTTCCATTTGTAACAACAATTCCCCCACTTGTATTACATGCTACAGTAATTGCTGAACACTGTCCAATTGTGAAAAAGAATCAGCTAGAGATGCACATCTGTCACTTCAGAATCTGTTGAAAAGTAACAACAGCAGGAACTGCACACAAACCACATAGATTGGGAACTRCACCTCAGATGGTCAACACATAATTAAGCACCCCTTTGGATAAGTGAAGAAGTCAGCAGGTTCCTAATCCAGTTTGTGTTAATTAACATATCAGTCTCCTTACATAATGAGAGATAAAAAAAAATCTATCCACTTCAAGAGATAAGCTGACTACAGCAGAAGTAAACCTATTGAGACCTAGGTAGGTAGCCCATAATGTGTCCGATGTGGTAATCTGCTTGTGGCCTCTTCCCAGAGGGATTCCTAATCTTGTTCCGTAAGACGAGTACTTTCAGAGGAAATGCCTGACCTCCCTGAAAGACTTATGTGGCCAGCATGACACACATGGCTTAATGAATATGACATTCTCGTCTATTGGAACATGCTGAAAACAATTTACTGCACATGCATACTGCAGTGTAATGTATTTAAAATAATGTATTATGAAACTGCAAGAGAGAGGGGGGGAGATATGWATATGTTTATGTATGTATGGCTATTATATTTACTGGTTTTATGCATATATRCATACATATATATACACAGACACAGTGCTATACTAATTTCAAAATAATATACAAGTTGGATTTTTATAAAAATTTAATTTAATTCTTATTGATCTTTGGTAGGAAAGCAGTAGCACCAAAAAAGACATGTATGCAAACTGATGTACAATTTCTWTTCAGACAAGACCTTATGAATACAACACAGACAGGGATGCTCTYAAAGCAACTTTATCCATACTTTAGTGCTGAAACAGTTCTCAAGCAGCCCTCAAAGGGTAATTCCTCTCAAGATACTGCTGCAATGGCATATCTGGTCTTAAGTAACTTTTGGAAAAGTACTACTTTAGATTGATCTATGCCTTCATGAAGTTTTTGACCAAATCRTAGTAATTTCATTCACAAAGTCATTAACAGTGCAAAGAATTAGATAGAAGTGCTAGGACAACTAGCACTAGGTAATTGCTARTTAAGATGTGTGCCAATTCTTGAATATCTTACAGCAGCTATATCTCACAGCAGGACTTTCACTCAGATCTGCAAAGTCATCTCTGTCAGCAAAGGTAACTTCKGTCTCATTCCACTCACCCTCCTGACAAAGATTATTCTAGTCATCCACAGCTAGAGTCAATTCTCTATCAAAGTGCATTACACTGCCAGCAGCTGTGCTACTTTTACCAATTCTGCAAGGTCTACATGCTTTTGTCTGCTTTTATCTACAAAATAGAAGAGTTGAGACTAAAACCCACAGCTTTTCCTTTTTCTCAGGTTCAAGATTTTTGATAGACATCTATTTTGATGGCAACTCTGCGACATCTACCTTCAAAATTTAATCTGCAGAGTTTCCTATCTTATTCTTCTTGCTTAACTGCTRACCTCACACTTTCTCAGAAACATAAACATAGACATATAACACAGTTCCAACACCAGCCGTACCATCTGCTTCTTAAAAGCTCTCATATCTGATCCACTTCTGGTATTAATTACCAAAACACTATCTATAAGGTTAATTCTTATCTTTGTACCWTATGTTTCACCCTATCCTAACCAAGTCTCTCTTTTACTAAGAGATTCTACTTCTCCAACTGGAAAACACATTTTCTTCAACACTTACCTGTAAAGTCTGATATAATTTTAAAGCTCTATTCCTTTCTGAAAGAACTATGACAAGGGAAAATTAAGTCTTTCCCTAGTTGTTCAAAATCACTTCACTAACAGCAACCCATAATATTTCTAAAGAAATAAGTCTTGCAAAAGTTCTTTCAAGATCTAGYCTTCATTTCCCCAAATCCCAGTTATCTACCCAGGAGAAGGTTATGCAGCTTCTCAAGAATCAATACATTTCCTGTATATTTGTTTTTTTTTAAAAGAACACCCTATATTCGCAAGAGGCAGCTGGATATATCATGTAACATTTGAAATATCACATTATGACAGACCATGTGTGTTTTAACAGCAGCTGTTGTAAGGGCTAAGTATGGTAGTAGGGAAAAGTAGGTGTTACAGCTTGTGTTTTAAAAGCACTTAATTTGTTTAAGGAAGTATGACAGTGTACTTTGCTTGAGAATATTTAACAACAGTGTATTAAATATCTAAGAAGCAGTCACCAGTTATAGAGCAATTCACTAACTCTTTATTTGGCATTCCAATTTCACTTTGTTTGTGGTACAGTCTCTTATAAWAAAACAAAATAAGAGGTTTATCTTTAAAGGGTTTTGATTAAAACTCTCCATAACTAAGCATCTCCAAAAAACGTCTCTCATCATGCTTAGGACATGTCCAGGTCAAAGGCTTATTTTTAAGTCATGAGTTTTATTCAAATAGATGAATATTTCTCTTACCTACAGTATACCAACTTGCATCTGTTAATTTGTTGATAACTGCTTCCTGGTATGTTCCATCTGGATTCTTTACTTCCACAACAGTTCCCACCTAAAATACAGAAGTCACTTAGCATTGGAGAGTTTCTAAAACAGGCGATGAAATCAACACCTTAGTATTAGCAAACAGAGATAATTTCTAACCTATTCCATGTTAAATAAAACATGCTTTTCCAGTTTCACTTGAATATACTTGTATCCCTTAATCTTTTTTCATTCATTTAAAATAAGCCAACTAACTGAGCAGATTATTTCCTGCCAGCAGGTGGGGAACAAGAACCAATTTGAGTGATGTCATTCTCTTGTATAAGAGTTTTCATATCAAATCCTCCAGCCGAGTTCTCCAAAGGAATGGTGGCTAAAAATCAGCGCCAGGCATACTTCTTAGCTTTAATGCAAAAAGAACAAAGAAGCTTGCACCAGCCTGTGCTGCATCCCCTTTAACGACAAAAGAAAAAGCTAACATGAAGAGTATAGTACCTTTAACTTTGTAGCATTATCTTTTATGCTTTGTGATCATATCTACACTGTGTAATAAGTTGAACCTTCTACTCTCACCCCATACTGTACATGCACATTTATGTCAAATACTGAAAAAAATAAAGGTTTTCAAAGCMTTAGCAAGATATAAACCAATTTATTACCTTTAAGGGGCCCTTTATGTGGTCATCTTGTACTTCCACTGTTGAAGAATCATGCCTAAAGGTTACCTAAAAAATATAATTCAACTGACAATCACTTGATACAATTGAGCAGCACAAGCACAAGCACATGTCAATAGCCCTTCTGCTCTCATTTTACAGTTAGTCACCATAATCATTCTACACTTGCTGAAAGCTGTTTTATTCATATTTTAGATTTTTGAGGGGCCAATCTCTCAGTTATCGAAACTTCCTAAATGTGTTTTATCTTTCACAATAGAATCATCAGCTCTAAAGGAAATGACAGACAAGAGCATACCAAAATTGTCTAATGGCTCAAAATGATCTCTACAGTTCTCTTAAATAATTTGAACTTCTCTAGTATCACAGCAAGAAAAGAGAAAGTTTCAAGACTTCTGAGTACAATTTTAAAGAACACTTCTRTTTCAGTGCTTTGAAATCAAACAGTTTTAGCACCTTTATCTTTTGCTGATAAAAGTGCATTTTTCGCCTCATGCTTGAAAGACTCACACAAGTACAGGACACTGCTGTCGACTAAACAAAATTAACAAGTCAAACAGGCTTTCAGGTAATGTCAGTCTAGCCTACACACAGAGTTAACTGGAAGGAAATATAAAAGCAGCCCAGTGTCCAGTCCTTCAGAACTGGAGTAAGTAAATCCTCTAAACATTTCCAAGGTATTTTGCCCTGTCATTCCCATAAAGAATACAAAGGCTTTTGTCTTTAATCCTACACACTGTCTTCAGAATAAAATCTGGTCTGGAAATTCAAATGTATGACTAAGTTATCTGCACCAGGCACCACAGACWTTCACCTTTCACTTCATTCACAATAAACTTGGTTATACTGAAAGTCATAGAATCTTCAATCAATTACATCTGAAGTTTATTTTCACTCTGGCTTTAAAATTCCAGGAAATTGAGAAAATTCTGGCATTACATTTTATGTACCTATATACATTTATCAACACACACAAATGATGTTCTGACATTCACCAGAACATACTCTATAGYGTAAACAGTTTTACTGAGTATTTGAACTAAGTAAGAATGTAACATGAGATCCAGCTGTGTAACAAGTAACTCTCAACTACACAGCAATCCTACATCAAATCTCAGGACTCGTTTCACAACCCTACCCGAGATCATGCTCTCACTGTTGTTGAGAGCTTCACTGCAATACACAACAGCAGCAAAAGTTCCTTCAGAACCACAGTGTTCTCTAAGTCCAATTCTCCTGCACAGTCTTCTCAGAAAGGAGATTGTAAGGAGTTTTGCCAAGAGTAGCACCTACAACCAGGACTAAGGAAAATTTCTTGACTTTAGGTTAGAAAAGTAACGCACTGAAATGCTATACTGTTTTCAGGTACTACTTAAATGAAATCATCATCTTGTCTATCGTCTATCAGARCTACAGCAACACATATAGTTGTGAGAGTATGGTCTTTTCAGAGCTGCACATCTCACGTGATGGCAAATACTTTCTGTCCACCAAACAGACATAATCATGCCTTGAAACCAAAAGGCAMACAAAGGATTCAGGCTAGGAATTAACTGAGCAAAGACAACTCTTCTGAACTTCATCCTGACAGATAGAGGTATTTAATTCCCTCTTTGGGGGAATTTATCTAGAAAGCCAAATTTCAGTTAAGATGTAAAATAACCTGAAACCTAGGGTCACTAGTGGCTCGTACRAAATATCCAGTATAACAATTCTGATTTAGAGGCATCTGATTTTATTAACTTTCTGTAGTTTCCTTAAATGTATTTTGCAGCAAAAAGGAACTCTATCCAGAACTATGAGACAGCCACAACGTACTCTAACGAAAGGTAAACAAAGCAAATTGCTATTGTGTATTCCTTTTAAAGTCATCTTGGGGCTTCAACTCTTTGTGGGGGTGGGGATTTTTGATAACGACAGTTTTGGCTTCTTGAGATATTCATATGTGCTCAAAAAACACTGGTTATTAACAGAAATATTTAAACTCCAAACTCAACATGACACTGCTGGTCTACCTTGAAGCTGGAAAAGTGATGACACTGTTTATTAGTCGAGGGTTTTATTTCCCTCCCTATTTAGCAGCGTGGAACTTTTCTGTCTCAGGCAAAAGACTAAGACATTGAGCATATAATCAGCTTGGTTAGACTCAGTTGGAATTTCTTTTTTCTTCACCATCCTGAAAAGACAGTCCTAGTAAGTCCCATAACAGCAGGAGCTTCACTTGTTTCTGTTTAACAAAGGCCTACACAGAAAACAGTTTCTTCTGAAACTTCTGTGCAGGATGCCCAAACACAAGTGGTGGTGGATGATGTTGGTAATTGTTTTAGGAGACACTGCCAAAATAAACTGGCTTAAATAACTCTCTAAAAAAAAGCTGTAACAGATCTGATGAAATAGACTAACACTCTTGTTACACCCAAAGTCTTGCCCTTGAGTCAAGTGTGTACTGCATTCAACGTTTTGGAAAGTCCAGGCAAATCTGAAGTTTTACTGCTTTCTGTGACAAATTATGCAATGCTGTTACACATTACTGTAGAATATCATACCATGCACAGAATTTGCCAGACTTCTAAACTGTGAAATACAGCACCTATTGATACTGAAATTGTAAGTACATAGCACCTGCATTAAATTGAATAAACTTGTTAAATTAGGCTGATGATGGGAAAGTTATTGTGAAGGTATCTCAAAATATTCTAGGAAGCAGAAAGCAGGTAAAAAGGAGACACAATTACATATGTTTTACTTGTCTGAAGATTACGTACTCCATCCATAATGAAAGAATTTTGTTGTCATCCTACTTTCTCAGCACAACATGTAGTTATAAAACTTAAATGAATGCTTTACACTAAAAYTGACAACATGAAGTTAACTGACTTCCCTTCTCCTCTAGTAGTTCTAGAAGACTAAGGCATGAAATACATACTGGGACCAAAAAAAACGGTTCAGCAAGTGAAAAAAAATAATGCAGCAGATAAACTACCAAAATTCCAGACAAAGCACACCTGTTAAGAGTCATTGTTAGCACTAGTAYTGGGGAAAGTACACACATGCCAGGAAGCACTAAATAGATTTTCAACAAAATCAGAGGATCGTCGTTAAATTAAGGAATACACACTCCTGGTGGAGAAAACAGAATGTAAACAGATACTGTTACAAAACTTAGACACAAAAATATCAACCACACATCATGTTACTCTACGAAGCAACAACATTTCTGGGCATGAATGGCCCTAAGCGATACAGTAACAGTGAAGATACACACAGACACAGCAAAACTGAATCAGAATCTCCACAATTTACAGAAAAAATCCATTTTATGTCAAAATCTTTCTGCAAACCTGTAATGACCAAACTTTAAGTGATAAACTCATAAGAAAATCTGTAGCACTGAATAATAAACAGCAAGTGGCTATCTAAGGAGGTGGACTGAAAGATCCCCAAAGAAATGAAATGACTTTTCACTGATCTAGGTATAACACAATTCCTATACTTAAATACTGATGCTTAACTGCTTAAATAGCAATACTTARTCACTCAAATCCAATGGTACTGTAAAGCATAGACCAGCTGATGCTATTAAGAATTTTGACTAATGAAGAGACCACCAATTTGCTGTCAGATTTAAGACTAAAATCTTCTTATTTGATAATAATGTTAAATACAAAAACTGATGGTAGTCCTTCCCACCAGGGTTTATGGAGAGCGCCTGCTCTCACCCTGATACACACTATTGGCCACAGCATGAGAGCAGAATCAAATAATGCACAATAGTTTCTAGTGTGCAATAATCTTCAATAACAGGTTATCACCATTCACATTTCACACATATTTCACTTAACAGTAGATATAAGAAAAATATTCTGCCACTATAACTCTGTTACAGAGAAACAACCTAATTTGTATTTTCAGGGTGGTTTTGATCCTTGATCAATAATATTTCTCTATGAAATTAAGAGGCAAAGCAGAAAAATAGTACCTCCTCCCAAATTAGAAGCATTTAGGGCAACATTTGAAAAGAAATATATGGCCATTTTGCAGTGTATTGTTCTCTTTATTTCTAGAAACAATACTTTAAATTTTTAAGCAATCTTACAATGTATCTCTTGCAATCCCATTCCAGAATTTTTATTTGTACTCTATGTGGCTTATAACGATTTAGTCATTAACTAGATATCGTAAAGCTCAGGTGAGATCCCCTGCTGGCTATTGCGTAGGACTCTATATCCAAAGTCTTTTTGGGAAGGTGGAAGGGTTTTGGCTTATTCCTGGAGCATTATCTAKTTGCCACTGCTAAATGGCAGTGACCTGTGCTCCTCAAATAAAAGAAATCATATCAAACCTACTTTGAGTAGTCTTAGCTACTTTCTGGTAATATTCTGGTAATATTCTTCTCATTTGTCACATTTTTATCAATTACTTTTAGGTCAGCCTATGGCATTGAAGGTCAAAAACACAGGATGCAAGCAGATGACAAAGCAGCAACAGAAACAGAACATATTTCATTGGTGGGAGTGGAAAACCCCTCCCATTCCAACATTAATAAGCTTACTGTTATTTGAAAGACCATACTGCCAGCCTCCAAGAACAGGACAGCCACTTAGCTGTCCTGAGACTAAGAAGTTTCACACTGTGCCATTTTGAAAATTAATACCACCTTTTTGCCCCACCTCGAAATAAGTGTTTGCAGGAAAACCACATACCTTGACTTTGACAAGCCTTTTTGCTGTCTTGATCTTGGCTTCACAGAAGGCTCCTCTATACTTCGCACTCACATCTGTGCCCACTGTGAGATAGGGAGGCTCATCAATAGCCTGGAACAGAAAGGAAAACAACTGCTTTTTAGTTACTGACCACTGGCAATACAGCTACCATGGTCTCTCCAGTTTTTGTGGACAAAGCATTACAAAACAGCCCAATGAAACTTAAATTGACAGCATATGTGTATCACAGCAGCAGAAACACAAATGCAACACTAATTACAATCTCCTAATTATGATTTCATAATATAAATAAGATCATAAATATAATAAACTGATACCACAGTTATCTACAGCAAACACCAMATAGGCTTCCAGCATCTGCACCATCTGAAGACACAACAGACGATCAATTCTGCTGCAATGGTGAAGGCCAACCAAGTGTTCTACCTTCTTTAACTTCCTCAAGACCTGGTAAGTTGCATGAAGACACTGGTGTTTATTTCCCTCAAATAACTAAGGTTCATTTTTCGTTAGTAAATAGAAGAACTCTGAAGAGATTTTGCTTTTCCACTTTTGAACAAAATAAATGATAAAGGTGACGTTTATCACGAGAGCAGCTCACAGGCAAAGTACAGTAAGAGACTGACAGAGATTAAAGTTGCAATGAAGGTGAAGGGTCCAGATAAAAGATAAGGTTCTGTGACACGCAACACAGGAACACATGAGACCCAAACAGGGAAACAAGAAATAGAAGAGGTGGGGAATAAGTGGGTTTGGAAGCAGGAGAACATAGTCAAATMAATATACTGAGTGAGCTCATGAAGGCATAGTTCCTTCAAAGGAAATCCATTGTCCCTCACACAACCTCTCCTAATGTAATCTGGGCAAGGAGATTACAGATAACTGAAGCACCTCAGTATCACTTCACAGACTATGAGTCAGAAGAGAGAAGCAGAGAGTGACAAGCAAGAGGAGAGAGRTTTTTTCTCAAGAGTTGCAAGCCCCCATGGAGCAGCACCAGACCAGAGCAGGGAAGAGTGATGTAAGCCCTTGTCAAAGCCACATCRTGTTTCTGTGACCCTACAGATTCAAACACAGTTTACAAGAGACATCTCTGGCACATTCAGGTTCTCTGTGGGAAGAATATAGAGATAAATCTTCATAGGCATCAGAGACTGACACTATTTGAGACTGAGGTGTTTGCACTCAGCATCAGATAATTCCCACTAGCTGATTCCAGTTCCAATACATCAGAAGTAAAGACATGGAAGCACATAATTCAATGCTATAGTGCACAATTCTTCAGAAATATAAATTTTACGAAACTTGATATTGAGAAACATAAGACACTACAGGGTTAGCTCCTTATTAATGATTTTTTTTACATTGACTCTGTTCCAGCCTAGATCTCATTGGCAGGTAATAGAATATATTTCTGAGTACTATAAAATCGTTATCAATCTGCACTAAGATCATCAGAAACATGGATATGCTAATGGACCCCTCCCTCTCTCTCCCTGCATGTGCAGTACGTGACTGAATGCAGAGAGCAGGATAGACTATGTTAGTGGTACTATATCCACAAGAACCTATCCATTCCTAATCCAGGCTTAATAGCAATAAAACTCCACTGAGRTTAACAAGGAATCTGTTAAGAGTGTTGGGATTGTGAAATTCGTTCCCTTCTAGCTTGTCCAACAGTACTTGCCTTTGAGGTGGGCTGCAATGCTTTTCTCTTGCTGCATTTGGATGGATATTGAAAGAGGGACTCAGATGGTGATAAATTTGGGTTTGGTCAGTACTCTCACTGATGTGAACCAAGACGTGGTTGTTTCACACAATATGAATCTGAGCAGAGGAAAACAGCAATGAATTCTCTTGCAAAGACAGTAAAGCTCTAAAAGGGGAACATCCCTTCTGCTCCACTGCACTCTTTACTAGAGAAACCCATTCACCTCTACAGTGGTGATAGCACTGCATGCCAGTTCATCTTCCAAAGGTAAAASAATGTGTGAAGTACTGAGATTACGTGAACAAGAGTGACAGATCCCAGATGCACACAGCTACGACTCTCCTAAACAAAATTTAAAGAGCTGGCTGTGTCAATGTCTGTATTTCCCTACACAGTCAAACAAATTATCACAAACCAATCCATATGCTCATTGTGAACTTASAGGAAAACACAGAACACTTTTTCTTCACTGCTATTGGCATTAACTAAAAAGACTTAAATTTTGAAAAGCATGATAATCTGAACCTCTGGTCTTTGACTGTTTGAAAATTTATGGTAGAGGAACAGGCAAGTCAACAATCAAACTTCAAGAAGGACTTAAAATTCTCATAAATTACCATTACCAATATTGTGATTACTTTATCACTAATCTAACTTACTCTTAACATCATCTTCCAGAAAGGATATTCATTCAGAGATTGACATCTGTAAGAATTCATTTCTGTTACTAACACACAAGTTCATTTCAATCTCTAGCCTAAACCTTTTTAAGTTTCTCTTATTCCTTTCACCGGAATTAGTTAATATTTACTACTGTAAAGAATTTCGAAGATTAACAAACATATTAACTATCTGTTTATCAATGTAGGTATACTTACTAGAAATAAAGAAATTAAAAGCAGCTCTGATACTGTAACTACCATTATAAATCATGATGTATGTTAAAACAGCATCTGAAATACTCCATGGATAGATAGGGGATGTTTTTCTGCAATTTTATTATTCCATTGAAAAATAGATTACATGGGCTTCCCCCCACCAAAATCACTTAACTCAAAATTTCCAAAATACTTCCCTCATTCTGAAAGAGTAACAGATGAAAGTGAGAAATTAAAACAATTAGCAAAATACGATGCATCATAGATGATGCAAACTAGAAAAATAAACACTAATAATCAAAGTCTGGCATTAATTTCAGATAATTCTTGCCACGACTTTGTTATCTGCACCGACTCTGAGTCACCTGTTCTCAAGGTTTTATTCAATTCCACCAACATTAGAGAGAYTAAATACCAGTATACAGCTATTTTTACCTGTTATTCCTTCCCCATCTTGTTTTTACATTGTTTTATAGATGTCCTCATACTCAGACTGAATATATCTTTGCCTATTGAATTTTGACATTTTTTATCAGAATTTGTTTTTTTTCCTTTTATGCTTTTCAGATCAGGTTACCAGGGGAAAAAAAAAAAAAAAAAAAAAAAAAAAAAAAAAAAAAAAAAAAAAAAAAAGAAATAGTAAGATATCTGTGGATGCTTTTCAGATCAGGTTACCAGGGGAAAAAAAAAAAAAAAAAAAAAAAAAAAAAAAAACCCAAAAAACTAAACAACAACCCAATATGCTAAAATGCAGCTAGAATCTGAGAGTTGAGTAATCTTGGAAAAGGTATTGCAAGCATACTGAGAATACCTTAACAAGAAGTATTGCAGTCGTCTTTAAAGGGAAGGGGGAGTACCCTATAAYACAAAAAGTTCTGGGCTTCCTGAAATTATTGAAGACACCTTGAAACAAAACTGTATTAGTCTCATATATTGCTGTCTCAGCCTTCATTTATTTTAAAACAAGATAATATGAATTGGCATTTGATTTTATATGTGAACATAATCACCTGCACTTTAAAGATAAGATCATCTTTTCAGTAACACATCAYAAAACCATCAGTAAACTTTTGTCAACAGCAAAACTGGAAAGTGTGCCCAGGACATGCCATCATTCATTTTATAATGAGATCATGAACTTGTTTCAATCAGAGCAGCTTCAATACACAACCCAGGATATCCTGTCAATGTTTCTATGTCTCTGTACGTACTCTTTCGAAAATCTTTCAGTTCACATTCGAAGGAGAAAAGTGAAGCTCATGGTAATATCTCGGGTTGTTCGTTCGGCTGTTTTACTGTTGCCAGAAGACTAGCACTTAAGATCTTCATGGAAACCACTCGCCATGCAGGCGCTTCCAAGGGGGATCAATATTTTGTCTGCATGAATGACCGAGGCTACCAGAAGGGGGGCCGGCTGTGCTGGGTGACACCGGGAGACGGACATCCGCCCCCAGAGGAATACCAGGGGAGGACTGTACCCCGCGGGAACGTCGGGCCGCAGCCAGGCGGGGCGGGGTGCGGATGGGCTCTTTTGGGAAGAGACCRGGATGAGCCCTTCCCCAGCATTCGCTGCAGGGGGGTGATGAGCGCTACTAGCGGTTCGAGCAGCGCCCCGAGGAGCTGCGGACAGCCGCGCCGATGCTYCAGCTTCAGCAAGGCCGCCCGGAGGAAGGAGGCGCCCGGGTGACTTGTTTAGCCCGTTCGGGGCGGCAGACGAGCAGCGGCGTTCTCCGGGGACCTGCCGCTTTAAGGGGAGGGGCTGGCGCCGSGAAGCTGCCAGAAGTTTCTGGCTGCCCGAGACAGCCCCGAGCGCAGCCGCCCGCCCGCGCCCTCTCCCCGACGGCGCCCAGGGCTCCGGCAGATTAAGTGCGGATTGCCGTAAACTAAATTTGTCCCCTTAAGGCGATTGCCGGGTAAATCTGCGCGCAGGGCTTCCCGGGAGCCCGCGGCTGCTGGAGTCGGGCACGGAGCACCGGCAGCGCCAACTCCCGGGATCCGGCCGGGAAAACGTGCGAGCGCTGCCCGCGCCCCTGCAGTGCAGCTCCTCCGGAACGCTGCTGGAATGCGCCTGCTGTAGAATATCCTAAATCATCAGCCAAATTACTATAAAAAAATTCCGGCGCTGTCTTGGATGAGCAAGAAGGGATAAAAAGAAAAGAACTTCCTGCAATTTTACACTTTCCATTAGGAAATCCAAACTAATGGACAAGCGTCATGCTACTACTAGCACTTAATTTTCTTTTATTAATGGGAATAGGATGAATAGTTTCTCTGCTATCTCCATTCACAACTGCTGTGCGCTCACAGGAGTTGCAGCATAARCTGCCGCAGCTGAAAAGCTGGTTTACCACTTAAATAAGGAGCAGTCTCTAGGTGACCAGTCAGCAATTTCCACCAATTCAGTGGCAGAATGTTCTTTGGCAGGAAAAGTAGGCTGCTGGAAGGGTTCTGCTCCAGCCTTCAAGCTGATTATACCTGGAAGCATTGATAAATGGCTAGAT